CACACAGATTGTGTCAAACCCCCAACATCACACAGAGATTGTGTCAAACACTCAACATCACACACAGACATTTCTTTGTCCAGGCTGACGTTACCAAACAGGACGGTTCGAAGGTCATATCCATTGACATAATAATAGCTTTCAGATCTAATCTCAGTATAATTTGGGCAAGTAAATAGGCAGTGCAAAGCACTTTCATTGAAAGAACAACGTGACCATTCAACATTATCGCTAATAAATCTTTCAAACTTGTGACCGTTCAGATCACTGCATCCTAGTCTTAACTTGCAGTGGATTATCTGATTTACGCGTGAACCAATATATTTTTAAATATGTGAGACACTTATGATTTACTACAATTATACATTTTTCTTAAACTGAGATACTGAAGCGGTTTCTCTCAAAGTAGAATCTAGTATATTCCGGGCGGAGACTGTGGAAAGTAAAAATGATTTTTTAAATAATTCAGTTCGACAATTAGGCTCATAGTATTCGTTGGTGTTACGTGTTTCATAATATGGACGATCCAAGGTTTTTACAGGTACCATATCACATAAATAATTTGGCGTTGTCCCACTTTTCATTTTATAATATATGCATAATTTGTGAAAGTGCCGTATTTCAGCCAAAGAAGATAGACCGGTTTCGTTATATGATTTTATATCACACGTGCCCCTCACGGCACCAAAATATTGTCCTGAGTGCATCTAGATGTAGCATGTCTAGGGACAAATATTGACCCTTAGTACAGATATTCCATATATGGTCACAGTAATCAAACAAGGGTAATGTGAATGAACAATAGAGTGCATGTAGACTGTGTCTGTTCAAACGACATTTCAGACTACCAAAGCAATTTATCAATGGGCTAACCTTGGCAGTTAGTTTTTCAATATGGCTATGCCAATGCCCATCACTTTGTAAAGTTAGCCCGAGGTTAATAATCTTTATTTTTACATTATTTATGATGCTGCTAGTATTAGTACTAACCCTTGTTTTCTGTGTTGTTTGTTTGTTGTTTAACGCCGCACTCAGCAATATCCCAGCTGTATGACGGCGGTCTGTAAATAATCGAGTCTGGACTAGTCAATCCAGTGATTGACAACATGAGCATCGATCCATGCAATTGGGTGACGATGCCATGTATCAACCAAGTCAGGGAGCCCGACCACCCGATCCCGTCTTACGACAAGCATAGTCGCCTTGTATGGCAAGCACGGGTTGTTGAAGACTTATTCTACCATGAATTTATTTCTACCCCTCTGATTGAAACAGCTGGTTTCACGGCCGCATCACCGCGGAAGCTAATATTCATAAAATAGTACTTTTGTTCAGTCATTGTCGGTGGGCATATTTAAACATATATCTGCAAGTACAGGTTACAAAATGCACACTTGCGGTAACAACAATATTCAAAGGATGTGTGACAAAATATTTCGAGCAGAAAATACAATAGAAATTTACAAAGAGAATGTATTTACGTTTTGGCGAAAACAGAGAGCTTGGAATTTGGCGCTTTTCTATATACGACTGTGACGTCATATCGTTTGCGTCACAATGAGCGATATGACGTCATAATGGTAACGCGCGGTGTAGAACCGAAGCCTTGCAAAGCTTGCTTTGTTTTCTTTAGGGGTGCCCACCTCATGTTAGCTTACCAAGTTGCCGTGCTTATATGCTTTCAATGCCTGTCATATGTTCGAGTGAAGTATTACGGTGTAAACAAACTGCTTGAGTATATAGAGCGCCATATTTTGTTTACAGGCTGTTGTCGGTGATTCCGTAATTCAGATCGACAACCCACTCAAAACACTAGACTCAACCTATATCGCTTCACTCAATATATTTTCTAACACCAAAGAGTTCGCGTTTTATTTAGTCATGGTAGAATGGAGATAAACATACTCTGTTTTCAATGTAGAGCTAGGTTGCCTGAAGATCAAATTTAATTCAAATTTAACATTTGAAACCTCAAGTTGCGCGTTCGGTTCCAAATTCATTTTAGCGGGGTTAAATCTACAGGTAACCTAGCTCTACATTGACAGCACATCATGTTTATCTCCTAATCCTAACCCAGATCTTCAAGGGTCACTAGACCTTGACCCTTGAATAAAAGTGAATTAGCCCTGACGTGATTATTAAGTGAGTAAAGAAACATTACATGTTTTAGATACACAGTAAACAAGCAAAACGTGATTTAGAGACACAAACACATTTGGGGCAGATTCGCACAGTTTGCTTCTACACAATCTCAAACCACGTGATTGTTTAGATGTTGTTTGACAGGAAGCAGGGGAATTGACGTGTCCTCAGAAACTCAACTACATTTTACTGGCGCTTCGAGCACTTATTGTTTTGTTCTCGACGGTACACTCTCGGAACGCGTGAGCAAAAGTATTCAGCACGTTTGTGTTCTAGAAAAAACCTTGTCACCAATCAGTGTAATTATAACACGTCGCACTGAACAACAAGTTCAGGATATTGTCACAAACTGTCACAAGTAGATGAATGTTGTCGTGGAAACGTGTAATTATTGAGTTTGTTTTGTGTGTCTGAAAATTGTAAGAAATGTTGTTAACTTGTATGATGTCTAGTAAACCATCACTGCTTTCAGCAAGAGTTTGTACAAAGTAATACCTGGCTGGATAATTTTGTGTAAAAATAGATTGGTTCCTGGACAAAGAAAGAAATTGCAACCAAATGAATCCTTCGATGTTTGAAATGTTGTGCCGATTTTTTATATTTTATTACTGTTTTTAAAGATCAGATGTTATAAAAAATTTTTGAGAAAGTTTAGAATCCAAAAACCATGTAGCAGTTTGAGTGTTGACTTTGCGTCAGTGCAGTAAATATATTTTGGAAATAATATCGCTAACTTAAGATTGTTTAAATTGAAAATCAAACATGATAAAACCAACTATAGTTTCTTTCGCTCCTCGGTTTATATCAGAAACTAAACAAACCTCCCCTTGAATGAGTGAGTGATTGAGTGAGTGAGTGATTGGGTGAGTGAGTGAGTGAGTGAGTGAGTGGCTTTTGGGTGAGTGAGTGGGTGGGTGGGTGAGTGAGTGAGTGAGTGAGTGAGTGAGTGAGTGAGTGAGTGAGTGAGTGAGCAATACCCCTGCAATATCAAACCGATATTGGGAATCGAACCCGGACCTTCGGCGTGACGAGCGAACGCTTTAACCATCAGGCTATCCTACCGCCACGCACATCTATTGAACCCGTACTACAGACTGAAATACCCCTTGAAAGTAGACCAATATGTTTACATACGCCTTGGTCTGTTAAAGTATCAAGTGGACATAGCAGGAACATGTCACCACAGCGTTCCCCGACACGCGCGTAATGTACACCTACAGAGTGTAATCACAATACGAACGATGAACATATCACTTAGGAGCTTGGGGATTTGTGAAGGAGACAAAGAATAAAAAGAAGTTGTCCATTAAAGTGTCATGTATTCACGTTCTTCTAACTTATACATACCTAAGTAGACAAAACATTTATGGATAACAACTTCTTATTTTAAGAAACTTTGCTTTACCCCCATGTGTAGTGTAATACAGTATAGTTTTGCCCTGAACTATTATAGTTAAAGCACGAGTACTATATTTTCCTTCTGTTGCCATTAGTTACCCACTCATGTTAATCCCTGTGACAAATGATAATTGTTGTTACTGTGAATCCTCCCCCCACCACATGTATTCTCCTAGTTCATTCTTCAGCCTTGCTTATCAGGCATAAGGATCTAAACCGAAACGTCGCTATTACAGTATAATACAGAGTTGTAACTCTTAAATTATTTAAAAAAACAACTATATTTAAAGGGGAAAGGGGATTGATAAACAGGCAGAGCCTATATAAATATCTCTCCCCATCTTAAATTTCTTCTCTACTTTGTCATCCGTCAACTTCTAGGAAATGCCTATCCAACAATTCTTAATGCACATCAAAGACTTCTCCGTGTTACCATTATTAAGAGTAGTGTAGGGATGTTTACATTGTATGTACGTACATGGCACACGTGGCGAGGCTAGAGCAAACAAAATGGTGAGGTGACAACGAGATTAACATTGTGCTCAAGATAATGTGTGTGTGTGTGTGTGTGTGTGTGTGTGTGTGTGTGTGTGTGTGTGTGTGTGTGTGTGTGTGTGTGTGCGTGTGCGTGCGCGTGCTTGTCTGCCTGTCCGGACTCAATTTCCGGTTGAATGGTACTAGCCTACTGAAATACGATCCCGCAGTTTGAAATGGATACCCCACTCAGACACATTATACTAAGTGAGAAGAAGGTGTATCTGCGTAATACCGAGCGCAAGGTAGGGAAACAACAAGTACCCTAGTTTCACCCTAGGTCCTTCTGACGTCATTCATGTTATTCTCATCTGGCACTGACTGCGACATACCAGGGTAGTTGTCAAACTAAGCCCTATACCCATTGCCCCTCTCCATGTCTTCCCCAATACCAGGAGCGCTGGGGTACCCTAGTGGTTAAAGCGTTCGCTCGTCACGCTGAAGAACTAGGTTCGATTCCCCACATGGGCACAATGTGTGAAGCCTATTTCTGGTGCCCCCCGCCGTGATATTGCTGGAATATTGCTATAAGCGGCGTAAACCCATACTCACTCACTCAACACTCCTAAGCATTCATTAAAATAAACAATTTCATTTTGAAAGAAGGTACTCAATGTAATGTCTGATGCGTCGTTGGTTGGCAAGAAGCAGCCTTCCACACAAAGTGTAAGGATACGATTATCATTTCATAACGGCTCAGTGTCAAATATCCAACACTACTTGGACGAAAACCGATATTTGTAATTTATATCGCAAGTAAACTCTTACAGTTGATATTGGCTTAAATAATCCCAGCGCTTCCACGACAAATTCGTGACAATGAGTCTAGAAGGTTATTCGAGACCTTCACGACATGTACTTTGACCTTTGTCAACACCTGAAACGTGAAATGTACCCGGCCCCACCCCCATGACAGCGGCGACAGACACCAGTGTGGTCGTGTACGACTTCACGACACAAGCGTCTTGATGTTGTAAAGCTTCAGACACAGAATAGTCCCCTTTGCCTGTAGTTGCTGTCTTCAGGATGGATGAAAAGAGGTTAGGGAATGTGCCGGTCATTGGTGGTCTGGTCACCAGGTTTTCCCTTGGTTTCCGTGAACTTGTCCTCATAGGTATACTGATAGTGACGGGACTGATGTTTGTGATATTCGCTGGGATGTATGGCACCACAAAGAAAAGCGAGGAAAGGGCCCAGGTGCAGGCTCTCAAAGGTGATCAAATGGACAAAACTTGTTTCAGTAAATTATGTCTGGAGAGCACAGCCTACACGCTGTCGAGCATGAACATCAGCGCTAAACCTTGTGACGACTTCTACAACTACGCCTGCGGCAACTACAAGATGTTCCACCCTCTCGACGCCGACTACCCCTCACACACCTTCTTGTCAGACATGTTGGAAAAAAATGAAGACAAATTGAAAACTTTATTGGAAAAGTCAGTGAAGCGGAACACGGACTGGGCATCTGAGAGGAAGTTGAAGCATCTGTTTCAGTCCTGCATGGATGACTTCAGCTTAGAGAGGCTGAAGGGGAGGCCGTTCATAACACAGGTTCTGAGCCAACTGGGGGGATGGAGCGTCCTCGGCACGTGGTTTGCTTCCAACTGGAACCTGAACGAGATGCTGAAGAAGGTCCAGACTGACTTCTGGGTGGATGCTATGTACGCCCCGAGGGTAGCAGTGGACTACACCAACCCAACCCAGACATCCATTGAGGTGAGTGAGTGAGTGAGTGGGTGAAGAGTGAGTGAGTATTTCAGCGAGTGTGTGTGTTTCGGTGAGTGCGTGAGTGAAGAGTGAGTGGGTGTATGAGTGAGTGTATCACCGAAGGAGTGAGTGAGTGAGTATATCAGCGAGTGTGTGAGTGTTTCGGTGAGTGTGTGAGTTAGTTGGTGTTTTGGTGAGTGTGTGAGTGGGTTGGTGAGTGAGTGGGTTGGTGTATCGGTGAGTTTTGTTTGTTTGTTTGTATGTTGTTTAACGCCGCACTCAGGAATATTCCATCTATATGACGGCGGTCTGTAAATAATCGAGTCTGGACCAGACAATCCAGTGATTGACATCATGAGCATCGATCGAAGCAATTGGGATCGATGACCTGCATCAACCAAGTCAGCCTGACCACCTGATCCTGTTAGTCGCCTTTTACGACAAGCATAGTCCCCTTTTACGGCAAGCATGGGTTGCTGAAGACCTAATCTACCCCGGATCTTCATGGGTCCGTATCGGTGAGTGAGTGGGTGAGTGAGTGAGTACGTGTGTGCGTTGGTTAGTGAGTGAGTGGGTGTTTCGGTGAGTCAGTAGTATCAATGTCAGCAGATCAAAGTATCGATGTGTTCTTCTATGACTGGGGTGGTCGGGTTAAAGACCCGGGTTCGATTCCCGACATGGGTAAAATGTATGAAGCCCATTTCTGGTGACTCTGCCGTGATATTGCTGGAATATTGTTAAAAGTGACGTAAAACCATACCCACTCACTCACACTTCTAGGCTTGAAACGGAGCATATCTTTTCACATAGGCATCGACATGGGAAACAATGCCTGGTGGAGAATCGTTCCAATTGTCAAGCATTTTCTCGGATATCAGTGCATGGGCTCAACTTGATTAAATACTGCATATACAAGTATTTTTAAAAGTGATTTTGATATCTCCTCTATATTTGATATTGTCCAAAAATATCAGCAAAATTGAAAATGTATTTCATTACTATCAATACGAGGGCACACATTTAACACTTCTAAATTTTCTATTTCTAAACTTCTATTTCATATCCCACTAGAAGCTTGTTTGTTTACGTATTAGTCAAGACACAACAACGAAATAAATTTTACAGTTAGATAATAACCATATTTTGAACACTCTCCCACGAGACCTGGTCAAACGGTAAATATAATGATTATTATTGTATTTGAATGAAGCAAGACGCTCTACCACGAAAAACTATGTGTTTTAAACATTTTTATATTATATATTTTTATGCTTTTCAGTATTTTCACACCTACCCACACCGACACCCACATAAGTACATACAAGAATTTATAGATACCAATGTAGATACAGATTAGCAGGGGATGGGGTAGTCTTGTGGTTGAAGCGTTCGCTCTTCGCGCAGAGGGTCTGGGTTGGATCCCTCACATGGGTATGTGTGCATGGGTATGTGTGCATGGGTATGTGTGCATGGGAATGTGTGCATGGGAATGTGTGCATGGGTATGTGTGCATGGGTATGTGTGCATGGGTATGTGTGCATGGGAACGTGTGCATGAGCATGTGTGCATGGGTATGTGTGCATGGGTGCATGGGTATGTGTGCATTGGTATTTGTGCATGGGTATGTGTGCATGGGTATGTGTGCATGGGAATGTGTGCATGGGTATGGGTATGTGTGCATGGGTATGTGTGCATGGGAATGTGTGCATGGGTATGTGTGCATGGGTATGTGTGCATGGGTATGTGTGCATGGGAATGTGTGCATGGGAATGTGTGCATGGGTATGTGTGCATGGGTATGTGTGCATGGGAATGTGTGCATGGGTATGTGTGCATGGGTATGTGTGCATGGGTATGTGTGCATGGGTATGTGTGCATGGGTGCATTGGTATGTGTGCATTGGTATTTGTGCATGGGTATGTGTGCATGGGTATGTGTGCATGGGAATGTGTGCATGGGTATGGGTATGTGTGCATGGGTATGTGTGCATGGGAATGTGTGCATGGGTATGTGTGCATGGGTATGTGTGCATGGGAATGTGTGCATGGGTATGTGTGCATGGGTATGTGTGCATGGGTATGTGTGCATGGGAATGTGTGCATGGGTATGGGTATGTGTGCATGGGTATGTGTGCATGGGAATGTGTGCATGGGTATGTGTGCATGGGTATGTGTGCATGGGAATGTTTGCATGGGTATGTGTGCATGGGAATGTGTGCATGGGTATGTGTTCATGGGTATGTGTGCATGGGTATGTGTGCATGGGAATGTGTGCATGGGTATGTGTGCATGGGTATGTGTGCATGGGAATGTGTGCATGGGTATGTGTGCATGGGAATGTGTGCATGGGTATGTGTGCATGGGTATGTGTGCATGGGTATGTGTGCATGGGAATGTGTGCATGGGTATGTGTGCATGGGAATGTGTGCATGGGTATGTGTGCATGGGTATGTGTGCATGGGAATGTGTGCATGGGTATGTGTGCATGGGTATGTGTGCATGGGAATGTGTGCATGGGTATGTGTGCATGGGTATGTGTGCATGGGTATGTGTGCATGGGTATGTGTGCATGGTAATGTGTGCATGGGTATGTGTTCATGGGAATGTGTGCATGGGTATGTGTGCATGGGTATGTGTGCATGGGTATGTGTGCATGGGTATGTGTTCATGGGAATGTGTGCATGGGTATGTGTGCATGGGTATGTGTGCATGGGTATGTGTGCATGGGTATGTATGTATGGGTATGTGTGCATGGGTATGTGTGTATGGGTATGGGTGCATGGGTATGTGTGCATGGGTATGTGTGTATGGGTATGTGTGCATGGGTATGTGTGCATGGGTATGTGTGCATGGGTATGTGTGCATGGGTATGTGTGCATGGGTATGTGTGCATGGGTATGTATGTATGGGTATGTGTGCATGGGTATGTGTGTATGGGTATGGGTGCATGGGTATGTGTGCATGGGTATGTGTGTATGGGTATGTGTGCATGGGTATGTGTGTATGGGTATGTGTGCATGGGTATGTGTGCATGGGTATGTGTGTATGGGTATGTGTGCATGGGAATGTGTGCATGGGTATGTGTGTATGGGTATGTGTGTATGGGTATGTGTGCATGGGTATGTGTGTATGGGTATGTGTGTATGGGTATGGGTGCATGGGTATGTGTGTATGGGTATGTGTGTATGGGTATGTGTGCATGGGTATGTGTGCATGGGTATGTGTGCATGGGTATGTGTGTATGGGTATGGGTGCATGGGTATGTGTGTATGGGTATGGGTGCATGGGTATGTGTGTATGGGTATGTGTGTATGGGTATGTGTGCATGGGTATGTGTGCATGGGAATGTGTGCATGGGTATGTGTGTATGGGTATGTGTGTATGGGTATGTGTGCATGGGTATGTGTGTATGGGTATGGGTGCATGGGTATGTGTGTATGGGTATGTGTGCATGGGTATGTCTGCATGGGAATGTGTGCATGGGTATGTGTGCATGGGTATGTGTGCATGGGAATGTGTGCATGGGTATGTGTGCATGGGTATGTGTGCATGGGAATGTGTGCATGGGTATGTGTGCATGGGTATGTGTGCATGGGAATGTGTGCATGGGAATGTGTGCATGGGTATGTGTGCATGGGTGCATGGGTATGTGTGCATGGGTATGTGTGCATGGGAATGTGTGCATGGGTATGTGTGCATGGGAATGTGTGCATGGGTATGTGTGCATGGGTATGTGTGCATGGGAATGTGTGCATGGGTATGTGTGCATGGGAATGTGTGCATGGGAATGTGTGCATGGGTATGTGTGCATGGGTATGTGTGCATGGGAATGTGTGCATGGGTATGTGTGCATGGGAATGTGTGCATGGGTATGTGTGCATGGGAATGTGTGCATGGGAATGTGTGCATGGGTATGTGTGCATGGGTATGTGTGCATGGGAATGTGTGCATGGGTATGTGTGCATGGGTATGTGTGCATGGGTATGTGTGCATGGGTATGTGTGCATGGGAATGTGTGCATGGGTATGTGTGCATGGGAATGTGTGCATGGGTATGTGTTCATGGGAATGTGTGCATGGGTATGTGTGCATGGGAATGTGTGCATGGGAATGTGTGCATGGGTATGTGTGCATGGGTATGTGTGCATGGGAATGTGTGCATGGGTATGTGTGCATGGGTATGTGTGCATGGATATGTGTGCATGGGTATGTGTGCATGGGAATGTGTGCATGGGTATGTGTGCATGGGTATGTGTGCATGGGTATGTGTGCATGGTAATGTGTGCATGGGTATGTGTTCATGGGAATGTGTGCATGGGTATGTGTGCATGGGTATGTGTGCATGGGTATGTGTGCATGGGTATGTATGTATGGGTATGTGTGCATGGGTATGTGTGTATGGGTATGGGTGCATGGGTATGTGTGCATGGGTATGTGTGTATGGGTATGTGTGCATGGGTATGTGTGTATGGGTATGTGTGCATGGGTATGTGTGTATGGGTATGTGTGTATGGGTATGTGTGCATGGGAATGTGTGCATGGGTATGTGTGTATGGGTATGTGTGTATGGGTATGTGTGTATGGGTATGTGTGCATGGGTATGTGTGTATGGGTATGGGTGCATGGGTATGTGTGTATGGGTATGTGTGCATGGGTATGTGTGCATGGATATGTATGTATGGGTATGTGTGCATGGGTATGTGTGTATGGGTATGGGTGCATGGGTATGTGTGTATGGGTATGTGTGTATGGGTATGTGTGCATGGGTATGTGTGTATGGGTATGGGTGCATGGGTATGTGTGTATGGGTATGTGTGTATGGGTATGTGTGCACGGGTATGTGTGCATGGGTATGTGTGTATGGGTATGGGTGCATGGGTATGGGTCCTCGGGTGAGAGGCAGTATCTTAGAGACGTTCGTGGAGGATGAATAGAAACCTCAACAAAGAATTGAGACATCCGAACTATCACATCAATTATTTGCATGTGACAATGGTCAGTGCTGGAACAAAGAGGCCACTGATGCAGGGGACGCTCACGTTTAATATGAGTTTATCCATCTGAGGGCATGTACTCGCTCCATGTGTAGGCGATTGCTGACTTAATGAGTTGATGAGGAAATGTCAATTATTCTGGTTATCGTTGTTTGTTAACGCCACACTCAGCAATATTCCAGCTATATGCCGGCGGTCTGTAAATAATCGAGTCTGGACCAGACAATCCAGTGATGGGTATCATGTGCATCCAAGATCGGCGTGGACCGAACACACTCTCACTTCTGATTGCAGATCTACCCGGCGGGAACCAGTCGCCACATGTACTGGTACTACTACGTCAGCTCTTATGCAACACAGGTAAGATCACCAAGCACAGCTGGCCGTGATGCTGGGAACCAGCGTAATATACTTTCATAGTTGATGTTGGTTTTGTTTGCTTGTTGTTTTACGCCGCACTTTCCAATAGTCAAGTTATTTCAGCTATGATTGGTATCCTGACTATCGATCTGCAGGGATACGATGACATGCATCAACCACCCGATTCCGTTAGTCACCTCTTACTACAAGCATGGATTGCTGAAGATCAGTTCTAACCCGAAACTTCACGGTGGAGACAAGCATGTGTTGCTTCAGATCAGTTCTAACCCGGATCTTCACAGGGGAGACAAGCATGTGTTGCTGTAGATCAGTTCTAACCCTGATCTTCACGGGGGAGACAAGCATGTGTTGCTTCAGATCAGTTCTAACCCGAAACATGTTGCTGTAGATCAGTTCTAACCCTGATCTTCACAGGGGAGACAAGCATGTGTTGCTTCAGATCAGTTCTTACCCGAAACTTCACGGGGGAGACAAGCATGTGTTGCTTCAGATCAGTTCTAACCCGAAACTTCACGGTGGAGACAAGCATGTGTTGCTTCAGATCAGTTCTAACCCGGATCTTCACAGGGGAGACAAGCATGTGTTGCTTCAGATCAGTTCTTACCCGAAACTTCACGGGGGAGACAAGCATGTGTTGCTTCAGATCAGTTCTAACCCGAAACTTCACGGGGGAGACAAGCATGTGTTGCTGTAGATCAGTTCTAACCCGAAACTTCACGGGGGAGACAAGCATGTGTTTCTGTAGATCAGTTCTAACCCGAATCTTCACAGGGGAGACAAGCATGTGTTGCTGTAGATCAGTTCTAACCCGGATCTTCACGGGGGAGCAAGCATGGGTTGCTGAAGATGAGTTCTAATCCGGATCTTCACGGGGGGATCTTCGCGCAGATACTGACGTGACAACACATATAGGCCCATGATACAGTATAAGTCACATAACTGGCGTCCGTATTACTTTCCGAATCGTATTCGAGTTATGTGCTACCTGTGGCAAGCCACCTGTGACAAGCCATTCTGTAACAAACCATTCTGTAACAAACCATTCTGTAACAAACCATTCTGTAACAAGCCATTCTGTAACAATCCTTTCTGTGACAAACCACCTGTGACAAGCCACCTGTGACAAACCACCATTTGACAAGCCATTATGTGACACGCTCCCTGTGATAAGCTATTCTGTAACAAACAACCTGTTACAAGCCATTCTGTGACAAGCCGTTCTGTGACAAACCATTCTGTGACAAACCACCTGTGACAAGCCGTTCTGTGACAAGCCATTCTGTGACAATCCATTCTGTGACAAGCCATTCTGTGACAAACCACCTGTGACAATCCATTCTGTGACAAGCCATTCTGTGACAAGCCATTCTGTGACAAACCACCAGTGACAAGCCATTCTGTGACAATCCATTCTGTGACAAACCACCTGTGACAAGCCACCAGTGACAAGCCACCAGTGACAAACCACCTGTGACAAGCCATTCTGTGACAAGCCATTCTGTGACAAACCATTCTGTGACAAACAATTCTGTGACAATCCATTCTGTGACAAACCATTCTGTGACAAACCACCTGTGACAAGCCACCAGTGACAAGCCACCAGTGACAAACCACCTGTGACAAGCCATTCTGTGACAAGCCATTCTGTGACAAACCATTCTGTGACAAACAATTCTGTGACAAGCCGTTCTGTAACAAGCCATTCTGTAACAAACCACCTGTGACAAGCCGTTCTGTAACAAGCCACCTGTGACAAGCCATTCTGTAACAAGCCACCTGTGACAAACCACCTGTGACAAGCCATTCTGTGACAAGCCATTCTGTGAGAAACTACCTGTGACAAGCCGTTCTGTAACAAACCACCTGTGACAATTCGTTCTGTAACAAGCCACCTGTGACAAGCCGTTCTGTAACAAGCCACCTGTGACAAGCCGTTCTGTAACAAGCCACCTGTGACAAGCCGTTCTGTAACAAGCCACCTGTGACAAGCCATTCTGTAAGACACCACCTGTGACAAGCCATTCTGTAACAAGCCACCTGTGACAAGCCACCTGTGACAAGCCCCCCGTGACAAGCCATTCTGTGACAAGCCATTCTGTGAGAAACTACCTGTGACAAGCCGTTCTGTAACAAACCACCAGTGACAAACCACAAGTGACAAGCCACCAGTGACAAACCACCTGTGACAAGCCATTCTGTAACAAACCACCTGTGACAAGCCGTTCTGTAACAAGCCACCTGTGACAAGCCGTTCTGTAACAAGCCACCTGTGACAAGCCATTCTGTAACAAACCACCTGTGACAAGCCGTTCTGTAACAAGCCACCTGTGACAAGCCGTTCTGTAACAAGCCACCTGTGACAAGCCGTTCTGTAACAAGCCACCTGTGACAAGCCATTCTGTAACAAGCCACCTGTGACAAGCCGTTCTGTAACAAGCCACCTGTAACAAGCCGTTCTGTAACAAGCCACCAGTGACAAGCCGTTCTGTAACAAGCCACCTGTGACAAGCCGTTCTGTAACAAGCCACCTGTGACAAGCCGTTCTGTAACAAGCCACCAGTGACAAGCCGTTCTGTAACAAGCCACCTGTGACAAGCCGTTCTGTAACAAGCCACCTGTGACAAGCCATTCTGTAACAAGCCACCTGTGACAAGCCGTTCTGTAACAAGCCACCTGTGACAAGCCGCCTGTAACAAGCCATTCTGTAACAAACCACCTGTGACAAGCCATTCTGTAAGACACCACCTGTGACAAGCCGTTCTGTAACAAGCCACCTTTGACAAGCCGTTCTGTAACAAGCCACCTGTGACAAGCCGTTCTGTAACAAGCCACCTGTAACAAGCCACCTGTGACAAGCCATCCTGTGACAAGCCACCTGTGACAAGCCATCCTGTGACAAACCCCAGTGACAAGCCATTTTCTGATAAGCCACCTGTGACAATTAAACAACTATTTTTGGACAAACTGCCATTATGTAGAGTAATATCATTGACGGTAATTAAACAATAACGGTCTTAGATATTTTTATCAAAACTTGCCTCAGTAGCCTAATTATGTCGTGCGCAGATCCAGAATGACTACAAGAAGTTCATTGGACGTGTTGCCAACCTGATGGTGAGAGACTCCAACATCGTGCTTGACGCGACCACCCAGAGGGACAGAGTGGCAGAGTTTGTCAATGACGCCTTTACAATGGAGACCAACATCGCCCGGGTGAGTCTCCACCAACCTTTACTTGAAGGCCGAGCATGCCTGATACATACTGATTGTTACAATAATCTTTGTCTAATGCTGACTTAACCTAATGAGAGAATACTGTTATAAATTATTATATTAATATTTCCAGAGTGAGTGAGTGTTTCAACTTAATGTATGAGGTAACTTAGAGGTGCCGCAAGACGTTTACCTCTTTGGTTTGTTTGTTTGTTGTTTAACGCCGTACTCAGCAACATTCCAGCTGTATGAAGGCAGTCTGTAAATAATCGAATCTGGACCAGACAATCTAGTGATTTACATCATGAGAATCGTTCCACGCAATCATTTTAATTGGCTGGAAATTTGAACGACAACAAATCAGATCAATCGACATAAACACATGTCGGGAGCGCAGTAAAATGTATCTCTCCTAATTGCGGATAATTGGCCCATTGCCTCCTGGTGGAAGGATGTAGATAAACCAACGCTGTAGTTGTGTTCTCACTTCTACAACAGAAGACGCCACTCTCTGAAGTGTGTACGTTTATCCCCGTGTCGTTGTTGTAGTTGGCGATTAATTCCCCGTGGAAAAGCTACTCGTACGCTTTCTCAAACCGGATGACCCTGAACGAGCTGACCCAAGCAGCCGGAGGACAGGTGAGCATTGTTGACCAAAGGAGTAACAGATGCTTAGCTTAATGTTAATTAATTCTAATTCAAATATACATCCACAGATTCCACATCCACAGTCTTCAATAACAGAACATGAAACATTTTAACTGAACAATCCACAGACTGTCTTCAATAACAGAACATGAAACAATCTAACTGTGCAATCCAGATACTGCCTTCAATATCAGAACATGCAACACTGTCTTAGACATCCACAGATTGTCTTCAATAACAGAACATGAAACAATCTAACTGTGCCATCCACAGACTGTCTTCAATAACAGAACATGAAACACGCTAACTGTGCCATCCACAGACTGTCTTCAATAACATAACATGAAACAATCTAACTCTGCCATCCACAGATTGTCTTCAATAACAGAACATGAAACACTCACTCTAACTGTGCCATCCACAGATTGTCTTCAATAACAGAACATGAAACAATCTAACTCTGCCATCCACAGATTGTCTTCAATAACAGAACATGAAACACTCACTCTTACTGTGCCATCCACAGATTGTCTTCAATAACAGAACATGAAACAATCTAACTCTGCCATCCACAGACTGTCTTCAATAACAGAACATGAAACACGCTAACTGTGCCATCCACAGACTGTCTTCAATAACAGAACATGAAACACTCACTCTAACTGTGCCATCCACAGATTGTCTTCAATAACAGAACATGAAACAATCTAACTGTGCCATCCACAGATTGTCTTCAATAACAGAACATGAAACACTCTAACTGTGCCATCCACAGATTGTCTTCAATAACAGAACATGAAACAATCTAACTGTGCCATCCACAGACTGTCTTCAATAACAGAACATGAAACAATCTAACTGTGCCATCCACAGATTGTCTTCAATAACAGAACATGAAACACTCTAACTGTGCCATCCACAGATTGTCTTCAATAACAGAACATGAAACAATCTCACTGTGCCATCCACAGACTGTCTTCAATAACAGAACATGAAACTAGCTAACTGTGCCATCCACAGACTGTCTTCAATAACAGAACATGAAACACTCACTCTAACTGTGCCATCCACAGACTGTCTTCAATAACAGAACATGAAACAATCTAACTGTGCAATCCACAGATTGTCCTCAATAACAGAACATGAAACACTCACTCTAACTGTGCCATCCACAGATTGTCTTCAATAACAGAACATGAAACACTCACTCTAACTGTGCCATCCACAGACTGTCTTCAATAACAGAACATGAAACACTCTAACTGTGCCATCCACAGACTGTCTTCAATAACAGAACATGAAACAATCTCACTGTGCCATCCACAGACTGTCTTCAATAACAGAACATGAAACACTCACTCTAACTGTGCCATCCACAGACTGTCTTCAATAACAGAACATGAAACACTCTAACTGTGCAATCCACAGATTGTCTTCAATAACAGAACATGAAACAATCTAACTGTGCAATCCACAGATTGTCTTCAATAACAGAACATGAAACACTCACTCTAACTGTGCCATCCACAGACTGTCTTCAATAACAGAACATGAAACACTCACTCTAACTGTGCCATCCACAGATTGTCTTCAATAACATAACATGAAACACTCACTCTAACTGTGCCATCCACAGACTGTCTTCAATAACAGAACATGATACACTCTAACTGTGCCATCCACAGACTGTCTTCAATAACAGAACATGAAACACTCTAACTGTGCCATCCACAGACTGTCTTCAATAACAGAACATGAAACACTCACTCTAACTGTGCCATCCACAGACTGTCTTCAATAACAGAACATGAAACAATCTAACTGTGCCATCCACAGACTGTCTTCAATAACAGAACATGAAACACGCTAACTGTGCCATCCACAGACTGTCTTCAATAACAGAACATGATACACTCTAACTGTGCCATCCACAGATTGTCTTCAATAACAGAACATGAAACACTCACTCTAACTGTGCCATCCACAGACTGTCTTCAATAACAGAACATGAAACACTCACTCTAACTGTGCCATCCACAGATTGTCTTCAATAACAGAACATGAAACACTCACTCTTACTGTGCCATCCACAGACTGTCTTCAATAACAGAACATGAAACACGCTAACTGTGCCATCCACAGATTGTCTTCAATAACAGAACATGAAACAATCTAACTGTGCCATCCACAGACTGTCTTCAATAACAGAACATGAAACACTCACTCTAACTGTGCCATCCACAGACTGTCTTCAATAACAGAACATGAAACAATCTAACTGTGCAATCCACAGATTGTCTTCAATAACAGAACATGAAACAATCTAACTGTGCCATCCACAGACTGTCTTCAATAACAGAACATGAAACACTCACTCTAACTGTGCCATCCACAGACTGTCTTCAATAACAGAACATGAAACAATCTAACTGTGCCATCCACAGATTGTCTTCAATAACAGAACATGAAACACTCTAACTGTGCCATCCACAGATTGTCTTCAATAACAGAACATGATACACTCTAACTGTGCCATCCACAGATTGTCTTCAATAACAGAACATGATACACTCTAACTGTGCCATCCACAGACTGTCTTCAATAACAGAACATGAAACACTCACTCTAACTGTGCCATCCACAGACTGTCTTCAATAACAGAACATGAAACACTCACTCTAACTGTGCCATCCACAGACTGTCTTCAATAACAGAACATGAAACACTCTAACTGTGCCATCCACAGATTGTCTTCAATAACAGAACATGAAACACTCACTCTAACTGTGCCATCCACAGACTGTCTTCAATAACAGAACATGATACACTCTAACTGTGCCATCCACAGACTGTCTTCAATAACAGAACATGAAACAATCTAACTGTGCCATCCACAGACTGTCTTCAATAACAGAACATGAAACACTCACTCTAACTGTGCCATCCACAGACTGTCTTCAATAACAGAACATGAAACAATCTAACTGTGCCATCCACAGACTGTCTTCAATAACAGAACATGAAACACGCTAACTGTGCCATCCACAGACTGTCTTCAATAACAGAACATGATACACTCTAACTGTGCCATCCACAGATTGTCTTCAATAACAGAACATGAAACACTCACTCTAACTGTGCCATCCACAGACTGTCTTCAATAACAGAACATGAAACACTCACTCTAACTGTGCCATCCACAGATTGTCTTCAATAACAGAACATGAAACACTCACTCTTACTGTGCCATCCACAGACTGTCTTCAATAACAGAACATGAAACACGCTAACTGTGCCATCCACAGATTGTCTTCAATAACAGAACATGAAACAATCTAACTGTGCCATCCACAGACTGTCTTCAATAACAGAACATGAAACACTCACTCTAACTGTGCCATCCACAGACTGTCTTCAATAACAGAACATGAAACAATCTAACTGTGCAATCCACAGATTGTCTTCAATAACAGAACATGAAACAATCTAACTGTGCCATCCACAGACTGTCTTCAATAACAGAACATGAAACACTCACTCTAACTGTGCCATCCACAGACTGTCTTCAATAACAGAACATGAAACAATCTAACTGTGCCATCCACAGATTGTCTTCAATAACAGAACATGAAACACTCTAACTGTGCCATCCACAGATTGTCTTCAATAACAGAACATGATACACTCTAACTGTGCCATCCGCAGATTGTCTTCAATAACAGAACATGATACACTCTAACTGTGCCATCCACAGACTGTCTTCAATAACAGAACATGAAACACTCACTCTAACTGTGCCATCCACAGACTGTCTTCAATAACAGAACATGAAACACTCACTCTAACTGTGCCATCCACAGACTGTCTTCAATAACAGAACATGAAACACTCACTCTTACTGTGCCATCCACAGACTGTCTTCAATAACAGAACATGAAACACTCTAACTGTGCCATCCACAGATTGTCTTCAATAACAGAACATGAAACAATCTAACTGTGCCATCCACAGACTGTCTTCAATAACAGAACATGAAACACTCACTCTAACTGTGCCATCCACAGACTGTCTTCAATAACAGAACATGAAACACTCACTCTAACTGTGCCATCCACAGACTGTCTTCAATAACAGAACATGAAACACTCACTCTAACTGTGCCATCCACAGACTGTCTTCAATAACAGAACATGAAACAATCTAACTGTGCCATCCACAGACTGTCTTCAATAACAGAACATGAAACACTCACTCTAACTGTGCCATCCACAGACTGTCTTCAATAACAGAACATGAAACACTCTAACTGTGCCATCCACAGATTGTCTTCAATAACAGAACATGAAACAATCTAACTGTGCCATCCACAGACTGTCTTCAATAACAGAACATGAAACACTCACTCTAACTGTGCCATCCACAGACCCTCTTCAATAACAGAACATGAAACACTCTAACTGTGCCATCAATAGATTGTCTTCAATAACAGAACATGAAACTAGCTAACTGTGCCATCCACAGATTGTCTTCAATAACAGAACATGAAACAATCTCACTGTGCCATCCACAGACTGTCTTCAATAACAGAACATGAAACACTCACTCTAACTGTGCCATCCACAGATTGTCTTCAATAACAGAACATGATACAATCTAACTGTGCCATCCACAGACTGTCTTCAATAACAGAACATGATACACTCTAACTGTGCCATCCACAGACTGTCTTCAATAACAGAACATGAAACACTCTAACTGTGCAATCCACAGATTGTCTTCAATAACAGAACATGAAACAATCTAACTGTGCAATCCACAGATTGTCTTCAATAACAGAACATGAAACACTCACTCTAACTGTGCCATCCACAGACTGTCTTCAATAACAGAACATGAAACACTCACTCTAACTGTGCCATCCACAGACTGTCTTCAATAACATAACATGAAACACTCACTCTAACTGTGCCATCCACAGACTGTCTTCAATAACAGAACATGATACACTCTAACTGTGCCATCCACAGACTGTCTTCAATAACAGAACATGAAACAATCTAACTGTGCCATCCACAGACTGTCTTCAATAACAGAACATGAAACACGCTAACTGTGCCATCCACAGACTGTCTTCAATAACAGAACATGAAACAATCTAACTGTGCCATCCACAGACTGTCTTCAATAACAGAACATGAAACACGCTAACTGTGCCATCCACAGACTGTCTTCAATAACAGAACATGATACACTCTAACTGTGCCATCCACAGATTGTCTTCAATAACAGAACATGAAACACTCACTCTTACTGTGCCATCCACAGACTGTCTTCAATAACAGAACATGAAACACGCTAACTGTGCCATCCACAGACTGTCTTCAATAACAGAACATGAAACAATCTAACTGTGCCATCCACAGACTGTCTTCAATAACAGAACATGAAACACTCACTCTAACTGTGCCATCCACAGATTGTCTTCAATAACAGAACATGAAACACTCACTCTTACTGTGCCATCCACAGACTGTCTTCAATAACAGAACGTGAAACACGCTAACTGTGCCATCCACAGATTGTCTTCAATAACAGAACATGAAACAATCTAACTGTGCCATCCACAGACTGTCTTCAATAACAGAACATGAAACACTCACTCTAACTGTGCCATCCACAGACTGTCTTCAATAACAGAACATGAAACAATCTAACTGTGCCATCCACAGATTGTCTTCAATAACAGAACATGAAACAATCTAACTGTGCCATCCACAGACTGTCTTCAATAACAGAACATGAAACACTCACTCTAACTGTGCCATCCACAGACTGTCTTCAATAACAGAACATGAAACAATCTAACTGTGCCATCCACAGATTGTCTTCAATAACAGAACATGAAACACTCTAACTGTGCCATCCACAGATTGTCTTCAATAACAGAACATGATACACTCTAACTGTGCCATCCACAGATTGTCTTCAATAACAGAACATGATACACTCTAACTGTGCCATCCACAGACTGTCTTCAATAACAGAACATGAAACACTCACTCTAACTGTGCCATCCACAGACTGTCTTCAATAACAGAACATGAAACACTCACTCTAACTGTGCCATCCACAGACTGTCTTCAATAACAGAACATGAAACACTCACTCTTACTGTGCCATCCACAGACTGTCTTCAATAACAGAACATGAAACACTCTAACTGTGCCATCCACAGATTATCTTCAATAACAGAACATGAAACAATCTAACTGTGCCATCCACAGACTGTCTTCAATAACAGAACATGAAACACTCACTCTAACTGTGCCATCCACAGACTGTCTTCAATAACAGAACATGAAACACTCACTCTAACTGTGCCATCCACAGACTGTCTTCAATAACAGAACATGAAACACTCACTCTAACTGTGCCATCCACAGACTGTCTTCAATAACAGAACATGAAACAATCTAACTGTGCCATCCACAGACTGTCTTCAATAACAGAACATGAAACACGCTAACTGTGCCATCCACAGACTGTCTTCAATAACAGAACATGATACACTCTAACTGTGCCATCCACAGATTGTCTTCAATAACAGAACATGAAACACTCACTCTTACTGTGCCATCCACAGACTGTCTTCAATAACAGAACATGAAACACGCTAACTGTGCCATCCACAGACTGTCTTCAATAACAGAACATGAAACAATCTAACTGTGCCATCCACAGACTGTCTTCAATAACAGAACATGAAACACTCACTCTAACTGTGCCATCCACAGATTGTCTTCAATAACAGAACATGAAACACTCACTCTTACTGTGCCATCCACAGACTGTCTTCAATAACAGAACGTGAAACACGCTAACTGTGCCATCCACAGATTGTCTTCAATAACAGAACATGAAACAATCTAACTGTGCCATCCACAGACTGTCTTCAATAACAGAACATGAAACACTCACTCTAACTGTGCCATCCACAGACTGTCTTCAATAACAGAACATGAAACAATCTAACTGTGCCATCCACAGATTGTCTTCAATAACAGAACATGAAACAATCTAACTGTGCCATCCACAGACTGTCTTCAATAACAGAACATGAAACACTCACTCTAACTGTGCCATCCACAGACTGTCTTCAATAACAGAACATGAAACAATCTAACTGTGCCATCCACAGATTGTCTTCAATAACAGAACATGAAACACTCTAACTGTGCCATCCACAGATTGTCTTCAATAACAGAACATGATACACTCTAACTGTGCCATCCACAGATTGTCTTCAATAACAGAACATGATACACTCTAACTGTGCCATCCACAGACTGTCTTCAATAACAGAACATGAAACACTCACTCTAACTGTGCCATCCACAGACTGTCTTCAATAACAGAACATGAAACACTCACTCTAACTGTGCCATCCACAGACTGTCTTCAATAACAGAACATGAAACACTCACTCTTACTGTGCCATCCACAGACTGTCTTCAATAACAGAACATGAAACACTCTAACTGTGCCATCCACAGATTATCTTCAATAACAGAACATGAAACAATCTAACTGTGCCATCCACAGACTGTCTTCAATAACAGAACATGAAACACTCACTCTAACTGTGCCATCCACAGACTGTCTTCAATAACAGAACATGAAACACTCACTCTAACTGTGCCATCCACAGACTGTCTTCAATAACAGAACATGAAACACTCACTCTAACTGTGCCATCCACAGACTGTCTTCAATAACAGAACATGAAACAATCTAACTGTGCCATCCACAGACTGTCTTCAATAACAGAACATGAAACACTCACTCTAACTGTGCCATCCACAGACTGTCTTCAATAACAGAACATGAAACACTCTAACTGTGCCATCCACAGATTGTCTTCAATAACAGAACATGAAACAATCTAACTGTGCCATCCACAGACTGTCTTCAATAACAGAACATGAAACACTCACTCTAACTGTGCCATCCACAGACTGTCTTCAATAACAGAACATGAAACACTCTAACTGTGCCATCAATAGATTGTCTTCAATAACAGCACAATAAACTAGCTAACTGTGCCATCCACAGATTGTCTTCAATAACAGAACATGAAACACTCACTCTAACTGTGCCATCCACAGACTGTCTTCAATAACAGAACATGAAACACTCACTCTAACTGTGCCATCCACAGACTGTCTTCAATAACAGAACATGAAACACTCTAACTGTGCCATCCACAGATTGTCTTCAATAACAGAACATGAAACAATCTCACTGTGCCATCCACAGACTGTCTTCAATAACAGAACATGAAACACTCACTCTAACTGTGCCATCCACAGACTGTCTTCAATAACAGAACATGAAACACTCTAACTGTGCCATCCACAGACTGTCTTCAATAACAGAACATGATACACTCTAACTGTGCCATCCACAGACTGTCTTCAATAACAGAACATGATACACTCTAACTGTGCCATCAATAGATTGTCTTCAATAACAGAACATGAAACACTCTAACTGTGCCATCCACAGATTGTCTTCAATAACAGAACATGAAACAATCTAACTGTGCCATCCACAGATTGTCTTCAATAACAGAACATGATACACTCTAACTGTGCCATCCACAGATTGTCTTCAATAACAGAACATGAAACACTCACTCTAACTGTGCCATCCACAGACTGTCTTCAATAACAGAACATGAAACACTCTAACTGTGCCATCCACAGATTGTCTTCAATAACAGAACATGAAACAATCTAACTGTGCCATCCACAGACTGTCTTCAATAACAGAACATGAAACACTCACTCTAACTGTGCCATCCACAGACTGTCTTCAATAACAGAACATGAAACACTCTAACTGTGCCATCCACAGATTGTCTTCAATAACAGAACATGAAACACTCACTCTAACTGTGCCATCCACAGACTGTCTTCAATAACAGAACATGAAACACTCTAACTGTGCCATCCACAGATTGTCTTCAATAACAGAACATGAAACACTCACTCTAACTGTGCCATCCACAGACTGTCTTCAATAACAGAACATGAAACACTCACTCTAACTGTGCCATCCACAGACTGTCTTCAATAACAGAACATGAAACACTCACTCTAACTGTGCCATCCACAGACTGTCTTCAATAACAGAACATGAAACACTCACTCTAACTGTGCCATCCACAGACTGTCTTCAATAACAGAACATGAAACAATCTAACTGTGCCATCCACAGACTGTCTTCAATAACAGAACATGAAACACTCACTCTAACTGTGCCATCCACAGACTGTCTTCAATAACAGAACATGAAACAATCTAACTGTGCCATCCACAGACTGTCTTCAATAACAGAACATGAAACACTCTAACTGTGCCATCCACAGATTGTCTTCAATAACAGAACATGAAACACGCTAACTGTGCCATCCACAGATTGTCTTCAATAACAGAACATGAAACACTCACTCTAACTGTGCCATCCACAGATTGTCTTCAATAACAGAACATGAAACACGCTAACTGTGCCATCCACAGACTGTCTTCAATAACAGAACATGATACACTCTTAACTGCCTTTGTCGTCCGCAGACTGTCTTCAATAACAGAACATGATACATTCTAACTGTCTTTGCCATCCATTGACTGTCTTCAATAACAGAACATGATACACTCTAACTTTGTCATCCACCGATTGTCTTTTTTTGTTTTCAGATAGACTACCTCCAACAGTCTGCCTATCTCTTTAGCTCAGCAGGAATAACTGGACATAAAGAAACGTTGGTTTACAGCCTCGACTATTTAAAGGGGCTTGATAACATGATAAAGAACCTCCCTTCCGGAAATCAAGCAAGGTAAGAGTTATGTCCCCTTAACTGAAAACGCCACATGACATTTCTCGCTGGTTGCTCAGCTGTTCCCATATATGAAGAACTTCCTGCACTTTACACCGATGTTCTCACTGATCGAACTCATACATACCAGTAAACTACGGTTATAACGAACTCAAAGGGACTTCTAATTTTAGTTTGTTGTAACCGTAGTTCGTTATAAACATATATGCAGCATACATACAGCAAATGGCTAGGATAAAAAAAGACAGTTCGTTATATCAGCCAGTTCGTTATAAGCGTGTTCGTTATAAACGTAGTACTTTCGAATGCGGATTTTACTGCTTATAATATGTTTCATGCCTTGTGTCTTTTGTGCCCCATCAATGACTACGTTCCCTCTCTCTCATATGCAGTCGTCTAAGGCGCCGCGATTCGCTGCGCAGAGTTGCGTCCCTTGGGAGCGCCAAAAACCTATGATTGTGGGTTCGAATCCCGATTCGCCCCCATTAAGTTTCTTGGTTTGTCAGCACCATACCCGTGCTCAAGGGTTTCACCGAAGTGGTAAACGTCTGAGACCTGCATCACTTCGGGCTTTCCTCCCACATTAAGCTGACACGCCGCGATATAGCTGTAATACTGTTAAAAGCGGCGTTAAACCCAACTCACTCACTCACTCATCTCTGCCGTGAGCGTGTGCCTTTGTATCTGAGTATTCTCGGAAATTATACACAATATCCGACCATCGATTGTACTCTCCTTATTGCATGTTAGTATTGTAAGAAATACGTCCGCGATAGGAACAAGAGTTTCTCGCAACCCGACCGAGGGGATGTACGTTTTAAAAGGTAGTGTAGGTATGGTACTTAGCGTGTGAATGAGTGAGTATGGTTTTAACCCGCTTTCCGAATCACTGCTGGGGACACCAGTAATCTGCTTTACCTAGTGTGCACATGTCGGAATCGACCCCGGAATTTCGGTAAGACGCTTTAGCTACTCGGCTACCATCACCCCACAGTATTTCAAGCTATGCTATACAGTCCTGCTACTCCCCAGAATGGTCCACAACTACCTCATCTGGCGGGTGATGGAGGCGTACGTGACGGACCTGTCGGTGGACTACGTGCACGCTAACAGAGAGGTGTTATTCGACACAACCGGAACAACGGAGTTCCCGGCCAGATGGACGTACTGCTTCTCCTATGTGAAGCAAGTGATGCCGGAAGCCCTGGGCCAGCTTTACATCGCTGACCACTTTGTTGACAAGAATAAAGCTAAGGTAAGTTTGTTTTCTTTGTTGTTTAACGCCACACTCAGAAATATTCCAGATGTATGACGGCGGTCTGTAAATAATCGAGTCTGGACCAGACAATGCAGTGATTGACATCATGAGCATCGATCTACGCAATTGGGATACGATGATTTGCATCAACCAAGTCAGCGAGTCTGACCACCCAAATTCCGTCAGTCGCCTCTTACGACAAGCATGGGTTGCTGCCAAGGTAGGACACGCCTGGGATGGATAGTGCCTTAATAAACAAGACTGATTAAGCGATGATAAATATGGCACTGTGCGTACTATACGTAAAGCTGTGATTCGTATTCAGTGAGTTGTACTATTGCAGAGAATCGAACCAAGGCGTGACGAGCGAATCTTTAAATCTCTTGGCCTCCTACTCACCCGGGGCGGTAGGATAGCTTTGTGATTATAGCGTTCGCACGTCACACCGAAGACCCGGGTTCGATTCCCGTCATGGGTACAATGTGTGAAGCCCATTTCTGGTGTTCCCCGCCGTGATATTGCTTAAATATTGCTAAAAGCGGCGTAAAACTCACTCACTCACCCGAAACTGGTAATTATGATCCTAAGGCGTCACACGTGGTTTCATACCCTTTTAGCGAACACATGGTGTCATAATTGACTTTCACTGATCCATTCATATGATCCCCGATTCAATTATTTTGCCTTTAATGTCCAATGGAATCTGTTCCGTTGGGTAATCGAGACTGATTAGTTTTTGACGTTTAATATTTAGAAAAAAAATCATCTTTCTAACATTTAGGTGACAGAAATTACTGAAACGACGAAGCAAGCACTGGCCGACCTTCTGAAAAAGACGCCATGGATGGACGCAGCCACAAGAGCAAAGGCCGAGGCCAAGGTCATCAACAATCATTAATATATCCTTGGACATTGTCACAATCCAATCCTTACATCACAGCTATCTGGCCAAGGTCATCAACACAATCAGCAATACATCCTCTGACATTGTCACAATTCTAGAACTAAACCACAGTTATCTGGCCAAGATCATCAACACAATCAGCAATATATCCTCTGACATTGTCACAATCCAATCCTTACATCACAGTTGTCTGGCCAAGGTCATCAACACAATCAGCAATATATCCTCTGACATTGTCACAATCCAATCCTTACATCACAGTTATCTGGCCAAGATCATCAACACTATCAGTAATATATCCCGGGACATTGTCACAATTCTATCCTTACATCACAGTTATCTGGCCAAGGTCATCAACACAATCAGCAATATGACCTTGGACATTATCACAATTCTAGATCTATTATTACACCACAGTTATCTGGCCAAGATCATCAACACTATCAGTAATATATCCCGGGACATTGTCACAATTCTATCCTTACATCACAGTTGTCTGGCCAAGATCATCAACACAATCAGTAATATATATCCTCTGACATTGTCACAATCCAATCCTTACATCACAGTATCTGGCCAAGATCATCAACACTATCAGTAATATATCCCGGGACATTGTCACAATTCTATCCTTACATCACAGTTATCCGGCCAGGATCATCGACACAATCAATAATATATCCTCTGACATTGTCACAATCCAATCCTTACATCACAGTTATCTGGCCAAGGTCATCAACACAATCAGCAATATATCCTCTGACATTGTCACAATCCAATCCTTACATCACAGTTATCTGGCCAAGATCATCAACACTATCAGTCATATGACCTAGGGTATTATTATAATTCTACCATTGTTCGGTTGTTGTCATTCGCTTATTGTATTCTGTGTTTTCATTGCAGATAAACAGTGCCAGCTATAAAATCGGTTATTCGGATCTGCTCAAAAGCACCGACAAGATTGATGTGATGTACCAGCCAGTAAGTAGTTAGGCAACCGCCCCTACACAGTCAAATATTAGTACCGCAGTTAGGCAACTGTACCGCACAGTCAAGTCGAGGTACCACCGTTAGGCAACTGACCGCACACAGTCAAGTATAAGTACCACAGTTAGGCTCCCAAATTCGACACGGTTAAATATAAGTACCGTAGTTAGACAACCGACCCCATTCAATCAAATAGAAATACCCCAGTTAGGTAACCAATCCAATACAGGGAAGCATTGGTAGAACGGTTAGGCAACCGTTCCAATATAATCAAGAATAAGTACCGTAGTTCGGTAACAGACCCCACACAGTCAAGTATAATTACAGGATATATATCCATCACCGTGTAAATCATGAATGCTCTTGAAAGATATGTGTAAAGACATAGTTAACGGAATGTATGTGTTTAAAGTGTGACATAACTTAATATACTAAATAAAACAACAATAAATACTAATATTACTGTATCATTAATCCTCAATAATTATAATCAATTTATTTCTTTATCTGAAAGAGGTGTAGGTCGTCCGCTCAGTCTACAAGTTGTTCAGCATGGTCTATAGAATTAAAACCATTGATATTATCTATACGTTTAAACGTGTTTGAGCTGAGCAGGTAGAGTGATAGCATAGTCGATGAACACTGGTGTGCATTGAATTGAAAATAACAGTTCCCCGTGGACACATACATGTATGTGAATTTGTTCGTTGAAGGATAGGTGTAACATTTGACTTCGGCCACTGCACCAAGTCACACATCTACAAGCAGGAGCATCCTCCTCCCAAACACCCCCGCCCCATCTTCTCAAGACAAGGGAGTTAACCGACTATAAAGGTCCTGTTTCCATCCTTGCCCAACTAGACCAGAATTTCTGGGCTCGATCGTAGCGCCACCAGAGGCTTTTACGAGTGATGTCCCGTCTATGTCCCGCCTATTGACCAATCTCTTGCATTTGCTTTTCAAACAAAATGGAGGCGCCCAGTCAGGACGATCTGATCGATAATGAATATCTATATTGTAATAAAACGGGTCTTACTTCGCGAGGTGCATCAGATCGCGTCAGCGCCTTGATTAAATACATGAAAAGATTTTGAAAATGTCTGTTGACGCCGAGTTGACGGTACGAATGCTTTGCAAATCCTGCAATCGACCCAAATCTTTACGAACAGGATTTCGATTCCGTTGAGCGATTTTGATTTGACTATGCATAGATACGTTAGTCCAGCCAACGTGTAACTCCATAATTCAGACTAGTTCGGCAAGGATGGAAACTAAACTGGACGTTCATAGTCAGTTAACTCCCTTGCCTCGGAAAGATGCCCCCCTTCTTCAAGCACCACACCCCCCTCGTCCTCAACTTCCCTTCCAGAACCGAACATCAAAGGGTCGGTGACCAAGACAATGTTTTTTGTGCAAACTGTGACGTTTTCATCAACCTCCCAGATAAACATCAACGTCTCGGACTTCTTCGGGAACATCCTGAGCATGAACAACTTCCACAAGCTGGCCTGGAACAAGGAGCTGGTTAACGGCGAGGACAGGGACCAGTGGTACTTCAGCACCTTCGACACCAACATGGCCGTCCTTTGGTACTGGAACGAAGTGATCGTCCCCGCCGGGCTGCTGCAGTTCCCCATCTACGACTACCATCTCCCTCACTACTTCACATTCGGATCGTTCGGCACGATTCTCGGACACTTCGTCGTCCACCTCGTCGACGAGTACGGTAAGCTGATCATGCAGGAAGAGGTGTCTGTGGAGACTCGTTCTGGGTTCTGAATCGTTTCTATATACTATTCTGTGGACACGAAGCGAGAGAGTCAGGTATAACGGCGGTTTTAGCAAACTCCAGCCGCATCACGGCAAGGCACGTCCAACATGATACAATGCACCACCCGTAAGAATCTGTCCTCGTGACGAGTCAAGGCTTGAAGCACTAGGCTACAGCAAGATACACAAGGGGCTGGGCTGGGAATGGGGCACTAGGACATTGTGTATGTGACACTTGGACATTGTGTGTGTGACACTAGGACATTGTGTATGTGACACTTGGACATTGTGTGTGTGACACTAGGACATTGTGTATGTGACACTAAGACATTGTGTGTGTGACACTTGGACATTGTGTGTGTGACACTAGGACATTGTGTATGTGACACTTGGACATTGTGTGTGTGACACTAGGACATTGTGTATGTGACACTAAGACATTGTGTGTGTGACACTTGGACATTGTGTGTGTGACACTAGGACATTGTGTATGTGACACTTGGACATTGTGTGTGTGACACTAGGACATTGTGTATGTGACACTAAGACATTGTGTGTGTGACACTTGGACATTGTGTGTGTGACACTAGGACATTGTGTATGTGACACTTGGACATTGTGTGTGTGACACTAGGACATTGTGTATGTGACACTAAGACATTGTGTGTGTGACACTTGGACATTGTGTGTGTGACACTAGGACATTGTGTATGTGACCCTAAGACATTGAGTGTGTGACTCTAGGACATTGTGTGTGTGACACTGGGATATTGTGTATGTGACACTAAGACATTTTGTGTGTGTGTGTGACACTAGGACATTGTGTGTGTGACACTAGGACATTGTGTATGTGACACTAGGACATTGTGTATGTGACACTGGGACATTGTGTGTGTGACACTTGGACATTGTGTATGTGACACTGGGACATTGTGTGTGTGACACTGGGACATTGTGTATGTGACACTAGGACATTTTGTGTGTGACACTGGGACATTGTGTGTGTGACACTAGGACATTGTGTGTGTGACACTAGGACATTGTGTGTGTGACACTAGGACATTGTGTGTGTGACACTAGGGGATTGTGTGTGTGACACTGAGACATTGTGTGTGTGACATTAGGACATTGTGTATGTGACACTAGGACATTGTGTTTGTGACACTAGGGGATTGTGTGTGTGACACAAGGACATTGTGTTTGTGACACTGGGACATTGTGTTTGTGACACTTGGACATTGTGTATGTGACACTAAGAAAGTTGTGTTTGTGACACTGGGACATTGTGTATGTGACACTAGGACATTGTGTATATGACACTAGGACATTGTGTGTGTGACACTGGGACATTGTGTTTGTGACACTAGGACATTGTGTGTGTGACACTAGGGGATTGTGTGTGTGACACAAGGACATTGTGTTTGTGACACTAGGACATTGTGTATGTGACACTAAGACATTGTGTGTGTGACACTAGGGGATTGTGTGTGTGACACTTGGACATTATGTGTGTGACACTTGGACATTGTGTGTGTGACACTTGGACATTATGTGTGTGACACTGGGACATTGTGTGTGTGACACTAGGACATTGTGTATGTGACACTAGGACATTGTGTGTGTGATACTTGGACATTGTGTGTGTGACACTAGGGGATTGTGTGTGTGACACTAAGACATTGTGTGTGTGACACTTGGACATTGTGTGTGTGACACTAAGACATTGTGTGTGTGACACTAGGGGATTGTGTGTGTGACACTTGGACATTGTGTGTGTGACACTAAGACATTGTGTGTGTGACACTTGGACATTGTGTGTGTGACACTAAGACATTGTGTGTGTGACACTTGGACATTGTGTTTGTGACACTTGGACATTATGTGTGTGACACTGGGACATTGTGTTTGTGACACTAGGGGATTGTGTGTGTGACACAAGGACATTGTGTTTGTGACACTAGGGGATTGTGTGTGTGACACAAGGACATTGTGTTTGTGACACTTGGACATTGTGTTTGTGACACTAGGACATTGTGTATGTGACACTAAGAAAATTGTGTTTGTGACACTGGGACATTGTGTATGTGACACTAGGACATTGTGTATATGACTCTAGGACATTGTGTGTGTGACACTGGGACATTGTGTTTGTGACACTAGGACATTGTGTTTGTGACACTAGGGGATTGTGTGTGTGACACAAGGACATTGTGTTTGTGACACTAGGACATTGTGTATGTGACATTAGGACATTGTGTTTGTGACACTAGGGGATTGTGTGTGTGACACAAGGACATTGTGTTTGTGACACTAGGACATTGTGTATGTGACACTAAGAAAATTGTGTTTGTGACACTGGGACATTGTGTATGTGACACTAGGACATTGTGTGTGTGACACTAGGACATTGTGTATGTGACACTAAGACATTGTGTGTGTGACACTAGGGGATTGTGTGTGTGACACTGGGACATTATGTGTGTGACACTAGGGGATTGTGTGTGTGACACTTGGACATTATGTGTGTGACACTTGGACATTGTGTGTGTGACACTAGGACATTATGTGTGTGACACTGGGACATTAGGGGTGCGTGTGTGACTTTGTATGAATCGGGTATACAATTATACAATTTGAAACAACAGACAACCATAGTGGTATTGTGAGTGAGTGAGTGAGTGAGTGAGTGAGTGAGTTGGGCTTTACGCCGCTTGTGGCGATGTTCCACCCATATCTGTTTCATACATTGGGACGCCTTCGGCGTGACGAGAGCAAGCTGTAACCGTCAAAGTGGTATTTGAGAGTATTTGGAAACCTCTCTCTCCCCAGAGTGAGTGAGTGAGTGAGTGAGTGAGTGAGGGAGTTGGGTTTAACGCCGCTTTTCAGTATTCCAGTTATATCACGGCGTATAGCAACATAATCGGGGCGAACCGGGATTCGAAATCACAATCATAGGTTTCTGACGTGCCCAAGGGACGCAACTCTGCACAGCGAATCGCGGCGCCTTAGACGACTGGACCACCCGTGTCCCCCTAGAAGTAGACGTAGTTCCCTGCAGTTAATGACGTCGGCGGCGTTGTCTCCTTCCAGGGAAGAATTGGGATTCAACTGGCACTTATCTGGGATCTCAGTTCTCGTGGTGGAGTAACGCTACTTTGACGTCATACGGTGACGTCAAGAGCTGCATGATCGACGCCTACAACACGACCCAGGGGCCTTTCATTCAACCAGATGGCAAGCAGGTGTATGTAAGTAGACGTCATCCCGGCACGCCTGTCTGTACACATATCATCATAAGTCCTTACTTAACTTAGTGGTGAGTCCATGGCAGTCAGTTGGGTTCGACGCCGCATTGAATATGTCGGTTATACCAATGCTTGTCACTGTGGTGAAGCCGACGAGAACTGGCACGATGATAATAATGGAAAAGTCTGGCACTATAACTCACGATCAACGGATCCTGGTCACTAAGGGACGCAACTCCTTAAACACCTTGGTCTGACACACTGACCTTGTGTTTTCTTGACATTCAGCGCACGTTTTAATCCCAAACCGAGACTTACATTCCCCCCGTTAGTCCTTGTGCGAGGTGTGTATCTACTTGTGACGTATTAGGTCACCTGTTATTTTGTGTCTTCCAGCCTTTTGGAGGCGTTCGATTTTTTCTTTACAGGCTACATCGCTACCAGGTACATTTTGTATGTCCAGCGGGGCGGTGAGGGTAGCCTAGTGGTTAAAGCGTGCGTTCGTCACGCCGAAGACCCGGGTTCGATTCCCCAGATGGTTACACCGTGTGCAGCCCATTTCTAGTGTCCCCAGCCGCGACGTTGATGGAATATATGTCTTAAAACGACGTTAAATCATATTCACTCACTCATTTATTCATTGTATGTCCAACTTTGTGTGTTGTGTACACAGACATATAAGTATTGTGCATTTAGAATTATTTTCGTTTTACAGTTTCCCATACACTCCGCGAGGACAGCCACTGATAACATAGCACAGGTTACGGGTGTACGACTTGCCTATAACGTGAGCATAACATGGGTTTCCTCGAACATATCCAGCACAGTTTGAGATAGAAAAATAACAACAAACCAAATTATATTTCAATTTCTTTCAATTTTAATAATGCCCGACTGAAAGTGTTCAAACTCTATGTTATTGTGATCAGTTTTTAAAGTATTTTCAGGCATTAAATCCACAATTAAATATTACATATGCCAGGTAATAAATTCTTATATATACTTATCTTCTGTTATCGTCGAATGATTTTTGTTATCAATTTTCCAAATCTGAAATGCAATAAATCAGATGAGACAAAGTGATAGCGGTCAAATGAGAGAGGCAGACACAGAAGTCAAAATCAAACTTGCTGGGGCTGCCTCTTGGCCGCATACTAGTCCGCCTTTAAGTGTACTTCCTGTGCGGCCATGATGGACTGACTACGTCAAACTGTCCCCGGATGTAGGGACCATTTATTGTATAATGCTCAGGGATCGGTCATTGTATCATATTTACACTGACTGATCCAGACCTCTGTCATAGAGCTGAAATAGTGCTGATTCGGCCTTAAATAATAATAATGATAATAACAACAATAACAACAATTTCTACACGTGGAACATGCTGATAACTCATTGGTTTACGTATTGAGTGATGATGGCGTCCATTCTCACCCAGGCCTATCAAAAGTGGGAGGCGACACATGGCGTGGAGAAGTTAGCTCCCTCGGGTCAAGGTTTTACCAACGAACAGCTCTTCTTCATTTCATATGCTCAGGTAAGTTTATAGTGAGTGAGTTTGGTTTGCCGCCGCGCGGGGTATGGTGATGACAAACCAAAAATATACATGGGTGGAACCGGTATTCGAATCCACGAGCAGAGAATTGCGGCGCCTTTGACGAGTGGCCCACCCGTGCCCCTAGTAAATACAAACATGAATGTATTCAAAATCTTTGAAAATACAACTAATGACTCCTTGAATTGATCAAATATCTGATAAAGTGCCCAACGAGGTCATAGTTCAATGTTCTTGAGATTACATAACTCGCATACATTTATAATTTCATTTCATACGTATTCAGCGTTTGGATCAGTGTTTTTATCTCGAGGGGTAAATAACAACATGTGCAACCGATTATTTTCCAGACATACTGTTTTAACCGCGACAGTTCGCTTGCTTACCGCCAGGCCCGGTACACCAGCAGGATCAGAGAGGATTACAAGTAGGTCGTCACCCCCACAACACCGTGCTCCAGTAGCGGACAACGGATACGTTCAAATAGGGGCCCTCCTCTTCAACAGTCGACAATACGTTCAAATAGGGGCCCTCCTGTTCTATAGCTGAATCAGTGTTCAAAAAGTGCCCCTTGTTCAATAGCGGAAAATATATATGTGCAAATAGTGTCCCTCCTGTTCTATAGGGGATTTGTGTTCAAACATTGGCCTTCAGTTCTATAGGTGAATTTGTGTTAAAATAGTGGCCCTTCTGTTCTATAGGTGAATTTGTGTTAAAATAAGGGCCCTTCTGTTCTATAGCTGAATCTGTGTTCAAATAGTGGCCCTCCTGTTCTATAGAGGGCAGTGTGATCAAATAGGTGTGCCTCTGTTGAATGCGGACATAAATTCAAATTGCGATCTTAGTGTTCAATAGCGGACTATATGTTCAAATAGTGGCCATTGACCCCAATAAAGGACAACATCTCCAAACATTGATTTGTGTGTATCCAATAGCGGCAGTTTTCAAATGGGGAATTGTTATATTGAAGGATGATTCCATGTGTTTCAATAGTGACCATCATGTTATATAGCGGAAAATATGTTCAAATAGTGGCCCTCCTGTACAATAGACACCAGTATGTTCAAATAGTGACCCTCCTGTACAATAGACACCGGTATGTTCAAATGGTGGCCCTCCTGTACAATAGACACCAGTATGTTCAAATAGTGACCCTCCTGTACAATAGACACCAGTATGTTCAAATAGTGACCCTCCTGTACAATAGACACCAGTATGTTCAAATAGTGGCCCTCCTGTACAATAGACACCAGTATGTTCAAATGGTGACCCTCCTGTACAATAGACACCAGTATGTTCAAATAGTGGCCCTCCTGTACAATAGACACCAGTATGTTCAAATAGTGGCCCTCCTGTACAATAGACACCAGTATGTTCAAATAGTGACCCTCCTGTACAATAGACCCCAGTTTGTTTAAATAGTGGCCCTCCTGTACAATAGACACCAGTATGTTAAAATAGTGACCCTCCTGTACAATAGACACCAGTATGTTCAAATAGTGACCCTCCTGTACAATAGACACCAGTATGTTCAAATAGTGACCCTCCTGTACAATAGACACCAGTATGTTCAAATAGTGGCCCTCCTGTACAATAGACACCAGTATGTTCAAATAGTGACCCTCCTGTACAATAGACACCAGTATGTTCAAATAGTGGCCCTCCTGTACAATAGACACCAGTATGTTCAAATAGTGGCCCTCGGATTCATTATCCAGCAATATGTTTAATATCGGACAGTAAGTTCAATAGTGGACGATATGTCCAATAGGCTCTCTTAGTTCATTTGTGGACAATATGCTAAAGTATGGGCCATTATATTCATGGAAGATAATATGATCAATAGGGTCATTGTGTTAAATTGTGGACAATATATTCAAATAGTGGTCATTGCTACACATAGTGGAAACTATAGTGGTCATTGTGTCCAGTAGTTGACAATATGTTCAAATAGTGTCCGTTGTTATTCAATTGTGGACAGTTTATTCTATTGGGGGTCATTGTGTTCATCAGTTGATGGTGTCTTTACTTGGGGTCATGATGTTCAACAAATGACGGTGTGTTTACTCGGGGTCATGGTGTTCAATGTTGGACAGTGTACTTACTTGGGGAGTCATGGTGTTCAATAGTGGACATTGTGTTCTAGATTGGGTCATTGTGGTCAATAGTTGGCAAGTTCTAGATGGGGTCATGATGTTCAATAGTTGGCAGTATGTTCTATATGGGGTCATTGTGGTCAATAGTTGGCAGTATGTTCTAGATGGGGTCATTGTGGTCAATAGTTGGCAGTATGTTCTAGATGGGGTCATGGTGTTCAATAGTTGGCAGTATGCTCTATATGGGGTCATTATGGTCAATAGTTGGCAGTATGCTCTATATGGGGTCATTGTGGTCAATAGTTGGCAGTATGCTCTATATGGGGTCATGGTGTTCAATAGTTGGCAGTATGCTCTATATGGGGTCATTGTGGTCAATAGTTGGCAGTATGTTCTGGATGGGGTCATTGTGGTCAATAGTTGTCAGTATGTTCTAGATGGGGTCATGATGTTCAATAGTTGGCAGTATGTTATAGATGGGGTCATGATGTTCAATAGTTGTCAGTATGTTCTAGATGGGGTCATGGTGTTCAATAGTTGGCAGTATGTTCTAGATGGGGCCAGGATGTTCAATAGTTGGCAGTATGTTCTAGATGGGGCCAGGATGTTCAATAGTTGGCAGTATGTTCTAGATGGGGTCATTGTGGTCAATAGTTGTCAGTATTATCTAGATGGGGTCATGGTGTTCAATAGTTGTCAGTATGTTCTAGATGGGGCCAGGATGTTCAATAGTTGGCAGTATGTTCTAGATGGGGCCAGGATGTTCAATAGTTGGCAGTATGTTCTAGATGGGGCCAGGATGTTCAATAGTTGGCAGTATGTTCTAGATGGGGTCATTGTGGTCGATGGGTGTATTCTGCAGAACTGGGTTAGGCTGACGTAAATGTGCTGTCAATTATCCAAATAGTTGTTTCAAGTTAAAAAAACTTTTCTAACTGTAACCTTATTCCTGTAACCTTGGTGGTTTACAAACATCCCCGACTCCAACTCACAAATCTATTTGGTCTTCAACGTTACTTTCAGGTCTCTTTTTGATTGTCTTTTTGGGGCGTCTATACCTATGAATATTTCATTACTGAATACATTATACATTATATTGTGTTTTTAATTTTGTCAGAGTGAACCTGGCTGTCAGTCAACTTGACGAGTTTAACAAAGCCTTCAAGTGTTCCGCCACCTCCAGGCTGAACCCTTCTAACAAGTGCGGCCTATACTGATTGACCTCCCGTGGATACAGCTGGCAGGATGACCACGACCCAGCAAGGGGATTCACTGGGAACAATTAGCAACAGGAAACACGGGGCAAATGACACGTGAAGAAGTGTTATAAGTTGGTACTCGCCAAGAACAGGACATCTATATCTCATGGAACTGTATATCGTCTCCCTCTCTTACATACAGATGTACAGATCATGTCGTGTCTTGTTGAGAGACAGTGAGAGCGTTAACCAAGTTAAACACAATGTATGTGCAGATCATTTCTATCTTCAACACGATGTTTATTTACATATGTTTATATCTTTGTCAATAAATATTTAATCCAACCATCATATGCATGTTTTCTCCGAGCTTGTTTGGAACGTGCTTCTTCTATTACATTAACAAGTAGGACGTACTCTGTGGGTGCATGCAGTAATGCACATATCATACTGTTGTATTTATATATAGTTGTATCATTGTGAGTGCTTTTGAATCGGCAGTTGTTACAAATAAACAATAAAAGAATCAATAAAATGAAAAATGTAAAATATACATTCATTATATGTCTTCAAATCGCGTGTTTCTTGTGTTTTCTTGCCTTCCATAGCAAGTAGCTTGTCATTGCAACATGTTAGAAATATATCACTTCATCAATTATAATCGGATGAAGACACTTATATCTGGTTACCAGTGTAGTAAGCATTGATAGGCTGATGTGGATGTGATGGCAAGTGTACATTGTAGCCGTCTCTTACAACAATGTCTCGGTTACAACGACCCTCGACACAGGGCGCCCCGTGTAACAATGTAACACTCGGACGTGTAGTGTTTCAGGGCCAGTCAGTACTTACCTCCAATATGCTGATACAATGTATACTCTGGACATCACCCACGGAGAGCGTGCGTACAGCATGCATATTTACACAGTTTCCCGTGCAAGTGAAGACAATAGAATATGGGAAAGGAGATCTCCTTGTCGAATCACCGTTCACTATTCCGTCTACGTTGAGGGTGACCTCTTGACCCCGGGGCGTATAGAAGTCACGTGGTGTGTATGCGAAACGTTTTGTCCGTAATAGGAGGAAAGTTGGAATGAAATACATTTAATAGCTTTGGGTGCCATGGATATCAACACAATCTTTCCTTAATATGGATCCTGTAAGGATCAGTTGTCAAGAGAATTGCACAATACGCCAACTTCACCCCTACAAAGCTAGAAGATCAAGGCACCTGATACAGGGTGTCGGTTAGTCATGTAAACCCCATCTAACTATGCCTTGAAAAAGTCCAAAATTCCTACACCAACACTATGTATACAGTTGCATACAGTGGCCAACATTGACATAATTTACCCTACCTGTACATCTAAAAAAGTAGATGGCACAAAATGGGCGTTTTGTATGATGAATTTCAGTAGAGCGTCTGTCGAATTGTTGCCAAACCGGAATCATAAATTTAGCCCAAATTTCCAAAACAAACTTTTTTTTAACTATATGAGGTTCTTTGTGGATCTGATTATGAAGCACCTGTTACTTTTTATTTGACATGCGACATTTGTTCATGAAACGGAACACACACGCAACTAAACTAATTGGGTGCTTCAGTCTAACCTGAAATTGACCTCATAGTTGTGATAAGATGAATGCGTCACTATGAGGCATGTATCAAGTATACTTGAATTTTTTTTTTACTGTATTTCAATACCAAAAGAAAACAAAAATCGCGGTGTATGTATTTATTGTCTGGTAACTTCTTAAATGTGATTCAGCATACCATGAATCTTGAATCTTCACTGCGTTGGGCGATACTGACAGGACTACGCGGGCCACCCATGTTAACAACATTGTATCTAAATTTGGATTTTTCGGTTTGCATGGACATCCCAGGCAGTAGGCAAACAGATACAAGCAGAGACTCTTTTATAATTTACAGCAAACCTGGTGCGGCAAAGGCAACAACCTATCAGACCCATACTCTTATAAACAGTTTTAATCACTTTTAAACACTGAACCTAGTCTGTCTTACAGACCCTGATACAAATATATATCAAATACAGCCCATGCAAGTCTATAATGTTTGGCAAGTCTAGATCACTGCAGTATGAAGAGAGTCACTGGGCTCCTTTTTATTATATTTTTATTAAGATAACTGAACAACTGTTTTTTTATGTACGATATGTTCATTTCAGAGACTAGATGTTAGTCTACACTGAACCATACTAACATATTCCTCAGCCATCTCATCTTAGAACGATTTTATCACGCTTCAGATGCAGCAACTTAAACACTGCAGAAAATACAGGAGGACTCTATTCTACTCCAAATGAAGAAAGACGCTGTTGTTCATAATATCCCAGTAAGGGAAAATATGTTATTGAAGATGAATTGCATATTTTGTTTGTGTTTGAACTTTATAATATCTAAAGAAATAACTTATTGGGTAAATATATAACCACCCAACCAAACGCTCTTTCATCAACCTGATTTCATCACAAGATTATGAAATATTGCACAACATAAGTGTGTTCCTGCGGAAGGTAAATCAAATAAGAAATACTCTTCCTCCAATTATTCTTGGTGTTAATACACATTTATTTCTCTGTGTGTTATGTATAACGTTTCATTTGTGCAGATGGTCATATCTCTGCTATGCTGATGTATTTGGGGCCAGTTGCCTTATATTGAATAAATGTCTGTCTGTCTGTCTGAATCAACCAGCTGACAGATGACATGTACACCTAGTAAGTAATAGTGGGCACTCCATTAATCAAATTAATTAAACTGTATTAAGTGAGTTTAACAAAATAATCTAATACTTAATACACCCTCTCTTACATTTTATAACTATATTTAAGGTATAAAAGAGGCGTTCTACGTATAGCGCTTTGAGGATGCTTTAAGGTGTGACTTTGTCGCATTATTAATGCGCATGTTAATATTATTATTATCACATGCCATCTACCAATCATTGATATAGACGTAAATATTTATATTCACGGAGACAGTAATTTCCTTATCAAAGATGCGCCTTGCAATTTAAGATTAATATTTGGCAAGCAGTGAAAATATCATCATTTACAAGCTGCTGTGGGGACAACCATGTCTGTTGATTCGTCCGATTGTCATCGAGTAATGTTATTGTTATTCTAGAACGTGCGAGATACCAAACGGAAAGATGCTTTGAATGTCCCAATCGTTTGTTATCATTTATTATGTGGATGCTTCCTTGTTACAACAAAACAAAATAACTTATGTTATAGGTGTGATTATCACTGTAGCTTTCATTTTAATCCCTGTCATAATGACACCAAGTGGGGTCATACGAACTATCTATCTTAACATTGAACAATCCATGGATTGATGTGTAACGACCTCCTGTAGAGAAATCAGGATTATCACAGCTAGAAGATTCGTTGCTGGTCGGCTGTTTACTGTAACTCTAAAACCCATCACACCGAGGTCACTGGAGAGAATAGTACGGGTGTAACGTGACCCCCTTGACGAATCTAGGGCCGCTATTCTGCATATGTTGAATAACGAACATTAGACATTCGATATCAATTATTCGCTAGGGGGCGTGTGTAAGTCACGTGATGTCTGTGTGATGTACACTTTAATATCCACATACGTAACGTGCTAGAATAAATATTTCATGAGATCAAAGGTAAATATCCCAACACCTCTGTCAGGTGCATGTTGTGAAACGCCTATGTTGTCAAACTGAAGAGTCTGGCCAGTACATATCTGATGTAATAATGTTTAAAATAAATCGGCAAAACATAATTAGAAAAATGTTTTTTTTAATTTGACGATATACAAATACAGAAGAATCAAGAAATAAATACATTTTTATGTACAACATTACATATTTGTGTATATGGTGAACCATGATCTCCCTCGAAGTCAGTGCCGACAAGGCAGTGATAACACCAGCAGCACCATGATCACAGATAGACCGCGGCCATGTGGTCTTTATCATGCATACAGGGTTCATTATAGTCTTTCCGCGTAGATGTGGAGGTTATTGCAGATGGCTGTTGTTGTATACTATTTGATAAGTAGTGCGCACTGTACATTGTTGTACAGACACTAGAGTGATCACGTGTATAGCACGACTCCTGAGATGTTGTACAACTCCGCGAATAGATTGTTGTGATGACGTCAGACTGAGGCATCGTGACGTCCCGATGACGTATATAACTCCGTATCAACGTCAAAACACGTCTGTACAGGGTGCACCTGTTAGGGGGTGGGTGGGTGGTTTGAGGGTCATGTGTGACGTAAGTACAGGATGCACTTGTCAAGGAGGGGTGGGGTTGGGGGTCATGAGTGACGTCAATACAGGGTGCACTTGTCAGGGAGGGGTCGGGTGGATGGTGGGTGGTTGGAGGGTCATGAGTGACGTCAGTACAGGTCGCACTTGTCAGGGAGGGGGTGGGTGGATGGGTGGGTGGATGGAGGGTCATGTGTGACGTAAGTACAGGATGCACTTGTCAGGGAGGGGCTGGGTGGATGGATGGGTGGATGGAGGGTCATGTCTGGCGTCAATACAGGGTGCACTTGTTAGGCGGATTCATGTTTGATGTTGGGCCGCAGCCAAATGTTTGACTGAATTCTCTGAGTTGACCCAAAGCTGTGTTCACCCTGGAAAATAAATTAACACAAAATTATCCATCTATCTCTCTATCTCTCCATCCATCCATCCATCCATCCGTCCGTCCGTCCGTCCATCCATCCATTCATCTATGAGACGTCAATATGTTTGCTACATATACTATTAATTTTAAAGAGATGGGGAGACGACTGACTTTCATTGTAAAGGGCTACACCACTTTACATAAGTTTAAAGCGGCGCATAACGATAGGATGTAGATGCGTATGACTGCGAGCATCCCAGGTTCCATCTGCTGTAGAGTTTCTCTCTGATAAATTCTTCCACGTTGCTCTTAAAGAATAGATAACCCAATCGTGTTGTTACAAATACCCCCTACCTCGTGTCTCCCAGCAGGTAGTACCCGAACCGCAGCCTCCGGTACATCAGCTCGTTGTCTGTGTTATAGCAGTACATCTGAAACACGGGGAAGGTTCAAGACTGAAAAATTTCCAAATTGACTTGCCTGTACATGTGTTTGTGACGGGTGCCACCGGTGGGGCAGGATACTCTCACCTTTTCGCGAACAACTGGTATCATGACTGTTAGATAGTGATTCATAAACACATGCTCATGATATAGTCGCAATCGTAGAATCGACTCTGCTCTTTTCAGAGATTTCTACTGGATATGGAAAGAGTTTTGTTGCTTTATCTTAAAACGCATAGAGTAAATAAATAAGAGAAAACATATACGAGGGATGGCAGAAAACTATGACCCTAACTATGACAGACTACTACTACTACTACTACTACTACTACTACTACTACCACTTCTACTACTACTACTACTACTACTACTACTACTACTACTACTACTACTACTACTACTACTACCACTTCTACTACTACTACTACTACTACTACCACTTCTACTACTACTACTACTACTACTACTACTGCTACTACCATGACTACTACTACTATAGAGCAAAATTCCACGTCACCGCGGGGCATGCTCAACACAGCATATGTACGAGGGGATATCAAAAAGTCTTGAGCCTCACACAGAAAAAAGTAAAAGAATTGGATTGTTACAATTTTATTTTTCAACATAGTCCCCTCCCAACTCCACACACTTGTTCCACCTAGTTTGCCAGTCACTGATGCCCGATCGGTAGAAGTCAACATGCTTGTACCCTAACCAACCCTCCACAGCAGCAATTAGCTCATCGTCATCTTCAAATCTCCGGCCCCGGAGATGTTTTATCAGCCTGGGAAAGAGGTGGAAGTCACTGGGGGCTAGGTCTGGAGAATAGGGTGGGTGAGGGAGTAGTTCGTAGCCACATTCTTGCACAGCTGTCATTGCAACACGGCTCGTGTGGACTGGTGCGTTGGTGAAGCAGAATCCCACGACGGATTTTTCCACGGCGTTTCACCTTGATGGATTGGCGCACCTGCTTCAATAACCTGGCGTAATACTGCCCATTCATTGTGGTGCCATGGGGCAGGTAGTCGATGTGAATCACTCCTTTGCTGTCCCAGAAGATGGTCATCATAACCTTCTTGGTGTATCTGGTGGCTTTGAACTTCTTTGGCGTGTTTCCATTCCATCGACTCCTGTTTGCTCTCCGGATCATAATGATAAACCCAGGTTTCATCACTGGTTACAATCCTAAAATGAAAATCATCTGGGTTGGCGTTGTACCGAGGTTCCACTGATGGTGACCCTTGATAGCTTCATGTCATCTGTAAGCATTCTCGGGACCCATCTGGCACACACTTTGGACATGTGGAGTTTGCCATGAATTATATTATGTATGGATCCATATGATAGGCCTGTTGTTTCTTCTCGTAAAATATATACAACAGAGAGAGGACAGATAATATAAATATACTAATATAGAAGTCCAGACTGAAACGCAGTGATGCTACTTTTTTTTTCAACATAATCCCCTCCGAGGTCTCGAACGATCCCCAGGTGTTGAAGGCTTCCTCCTGGTGGTGTTAGAGTCCTCCACAGCAGAAGCAGCGTCATCATCATTTGCTTGCCAGACGGTTCTTTCTTCAAGTTTAGGAAAAGGTGGACAGCCAATGTCACATTCACGCTTTGCCACCATGACAAAAACAGACTTTTGCGCCGGCGCATTAGCCTGGTGGCTTTGCAGGCTTTGAGTGAGTTTTCCACTACGTTCTGCCACGATGTTCTCACGCAGGTGCCTCAGCAGAACATCCTTTAATGATCGTATTCCTTCGGAAACAGACAACCGGAGCCATCACCTTGTCAGCTGATGGAACAGACTTTGCTTTCTTCGAAGGAGGCGGCAGTTGTTTGGTCTTATTGTGGCGACTCAGGCATGGTTACAAATCGCTCACACAATCACCCGTGCCTGGTTTAATACGCCATACATTTACACGTGAGATGAGGAGCCTGGGGTGTTTCTGATGAGGAGGAGGACGCCTCCGACCCCAGCGTGCTGAAACCGTTGCTATGCCCAGTTCATTCCTCAGAATTCCTCTCAACTCCCTCGATGCTCGCTACACTGGCTGGGCGATGTGTGGTGAGTCGTTGATCATCCACAATCATATGATGTTTTTTTATTAACAGTTTCGTCAGTGGTTGCAGTAATTGGTATTAGATCCCCTTCCACACTTTCTCTTCCCTTCTCTAACTCCAGAGCCAACCTCTTAACAATGGCAACGGAAGTAGCTTCATCCCTAACGCTGGCACCATCTCCACATGATGGTTGTTGAAGCCCTTTCAGTTTGACATCGTTGATGACAGGCATTTTAGATTATTTCCATCAACAGAGAATACCTGGTCTGTTTGATGTCTGAAGAAATAAGCTGCCAGGTTGGGTATTTGGTTTCATTATATCTTCAAAGGGAAACATCGCGACTTTTACTTAGAATAAACCCCTTAATGGAAAGATTTGTATTTTTCAGTATTCGATAGCGTGAGCTTGTAAATTGTACGAATGGCATGTGCTACCGGTAGGACAGGCATTCGACTTATTTACCTTGTGTAGTCACTGATTTTCGGTGTTCTATTCATATAATTTCCACAGCTATTAGCCCTATTACGCCAAGTTGAATCGGTTTCGGCAGAAAATCTAGGATGGATTGGCAATTTATACATTTGATGCACGTTGACGTCTTACACACATGGCTGGTCATATCTTCCTCGGGCCCACGTTTCACAATCTGACTAACAACCATATGGTGGTGATCTTTACCTGGGCACACAATCTGACTAACAACCATATGGTGGTGATCTTTACCTGGGCACACAATCTGACTAACAACCATATGGTGGTGATCTTTACCTGGGCACACAATCTGACTAACAACCATATGGTGGTGATCTTTACCTGGGCACACAATCTGACTAACGACCATATGGTGGTGATCTTTACCTGGGCACACAATCTGACTAACAACCATATGGTGGTGATCTTTACCTGGGCACACAATCTGACTAACGACCATATGGTGGTGATCTTTACCTGGGCACACAATCTGACTTACAACCATATGGTGGTGATCTTTACCAGGGCACACAATCTGACTAACGACCATATGGTGGTGATCTTTACCTGGGCACACAATCTGACTGACGACCATATGGTGGTGATCTTTACCTGGGCACACAATCTGACTAACAACCATATGGTGGTGATCTTTACCTGGGCACACAATCTGACTAACGACCATATGGTGGTGATCTTTACCTGGGCACACAATCTGACTTACAACCATATGGTGGTGATCTTTACCAGGGCACACAATCTGACTAACGACCATATGGTGGTGATCTTTACTTGGGCACACAATCTGACTAACGACCATATGGTGGTGATCTTTACCTGGGCACACAATCTGACTAACAACCATATGGTGGTGATCTTTACCTGGGCACACAATCTGACTAACGACCATATGGTGGTGATCTTTACCTGGGCACACAATCTGACTGACGACCATATGGTGGTGATCTTTACCTGGGCACACAATCTGACTAACGACCATATGGGGGTGATCTTTACCTGGGCACACAATCTGACTAACGACCATATGGGGGTGATCTTTACCTGGGCACACAATCTGACTAACAACCATATGGTGGTGATCTTTACCTGGGCACACAATCTGACTAACGACCATATGGTGGTGATCTTTACCTGGGCACACAATCTGACTAACGACCATATGGGGGTGATCTTTCCCTGGGCACACAATCTGACTAACAACCATATGGTGGTGATCTTTACCTGGGCACACAATCTGACTAACAACCATATGGTGGTGATCTTTACCTGGGCACACAATCTGACTAACGACCATATGGTGGTGATCTTTACCTGGGCACGCAATCTGACTAACGACCATATGGGGGTGATCTTTACCTGGGCACACAATCTGACTAACAACCATATGGTGGTGATCTTTACCTGGGCACACAATCTGACTGACGACCATATGGTGGTGATCTTTACCTGGGCCCCCAATCTGACTAACGACCATATGGTGGTGATCTTTACCTGGGCACCCAATCTGACTAACGACCATATGGTGGTGATCTTTACCTTGTCCCCCAATCTGACTAACGACCATATGGTGGTGATCTTTACCTGGGCACCCAATCTGACTAACGACCATATGGTGGTGATCTTTACCTTGTCCCCCAATCTGACTAACGACCATATGGTGGTGATCTTTACCTGGGCAAATGAAATGAAGAACAGCTTCTCATTGCTGAGATTCTTCCCATTGGGCGCAGTCTTCTCCATCCCCTTCTGACTCAGCCACAGCTGATATGCCTGGAGAACACACAACACAGTGCTTGGTGAGGTGAGGTGAAATGGGGTTTGACGTCACGTCCAAGATTATTGCACTTATATATAGAGTCTGTGTGTGTGTGTGTGTGTGTGTGTGTGTGTGTGTGTGTGTGTGTGTGTGTGTGTGTGTGTGTGTGTGAGTGTGTGCTTGTACTTGTCCGGACTGATACCAATTTTATAATGCCAGCCCACTGAGACACCATGACGCAGTTTGACATGCATAGCCCACTCTGACACAGTATACTGGCTCCTACCCGTCCTTGTTTTAACCCCTTTATGCCGAGGTCGAGGTAACAACAAGAACCATCTTTTAACGTCTTTTGGTATGACGCGGCCGGGGCTCGAACCTAGAACCTTCCGTTCTCCGGGCGGACGTTCTACCACTAGACCACGGAGGCGGGCCACAATGATTGGATCTAATAGATAGTCAGTCGTACAATGGTATGTGTGACAGTTACAAATTGACCCAACGTCTTACTATTATTAGGGGAATTTGTCCATGGTTCGGAATGTACCTTGTAAGAGAGATGGACTCCCGAAGTGATGGCGATAGTTTCTGTTGCTACTCCGGCGGCGTTAATGGGCATCTATAAGAAAAACAACTCAATTTTCATAATACACAACATACACAGGAAGACTGTTGATGATGACGAAACCGACACCGTTGATGCAGCGTCACGGCTAAATACTGGTAGTCAATACGACGACCGCCTCCCACATCATGTATGTGTGGGTGGGTGCCTCGCCTGACATAACAGGATATGAACACTTGAATTAAGTTAACGTAAGTGAGACATTTATGAAATTGGTGAACTTGGCCTGTATTATCATAGTTTGGGCTGTTTAGCTGTCAACAAAACTTCATCTCGACACACCACACATTGCGGTGCCAATATGCACCACACCTCACCACACATAACAACACCACGCCACGCCAAGCCACGCCACACCACGCCACGCCACGCCACGCCACGCCACGCCACGCCTCGTCCCGTTCCAGAACCTCTATACCAAACACAAACCCCCAACAAACCCCCCTCCCCGTGTGGATTCCGTGTTAGATTAATTGGTTCCCAGCATACCATGCTGGTCGTTCGAGGCGACTTAATGGATCGGGTGGAAAGGCTCGGAGACTTGGTTGATGCGTGTCATCGTGGTTTGTGTGGTACAGAGGTTGAAGCGTCTTACAGCTGCGGAATGGCTGAGTGCGGCAACAAACAAACAAAACGATTACTACCTACGTCCACACAAATGTTATGATAAGACGCCCCACAACATGATTACGTACGTACATCGACTTTCTTTCCATCAGGTCTGACCACAGGCCCCTGTGTTTTGTTGGTGAGGGCGTCGATCATGCACTGTTTGACGTCGCCGTATGACGTCATGGTGGCGTTCGTCCACCATTCTGTATTGGCGCCCATATACTCGCCATCTTTGTCCCAGGTGCGACCTTTAAAATGACCCAGTCAAGTTATGTGAAGGCGTGTCTTTGGTTTAACGCTGTTTGAGCAATTTTCATATATATCACAGGGTGTCAGGTTATTGTTGGAGAAAAAAGGTCACGGAGCCATTTGTCGCAGAAATTCACTCCTTGGTGCCGCGTGAGCACAGGTTTGGTGCCAGCAAACCATGTATGGTGATTTGGGGAAATGTAGAAATCGAACTAGACGTTAGGCACAGAATTCTGCACATCCTCATCAATGACTAAAGGCACAGCAAGTCCTTTCAGTCGAATATCTACGTACCCCATTAGCGACTAACTAGATCGGGTGACCAGGCTCGCTGACTTGGTTGATTAATGTCACCGTATCCCAATTGCGTGGATTGATGCTCATGATGTCAATCACTTGGTTGTCTGGTCCAGACTCGATTATTTACAGACCACAGCAGTATAGCTGGAATATTGCTGAGTGCGGCGTTAAACAACAAAAAACAAACAAAAAGACAAAGAAACGTACCCCATTCATCAACGATGTGCAGCACATAATGTCCCAAGAGGGACCCAAAGGACCCAAACGTGTAGAAGTGGGGCATGTGGAAGTCGTAGAAGGGGAACTGAAGCAACCCCGCGGGCGCCACGACTTGGTTCCAGTACCACCACACCGCCATGTTGGTGTCAAACGCCCGGAAGTACCACCGCTTCCGGTCCTCGCCCTCCCGGAGCTCCTTGTTCCAGCGGGTCTTGTGGAACTGGTTGATGCGGAGGATGTTCCCGAACCAGTCGGACCCGTTTATCTGCAGCTACAACATGATAATAATGATGATAATAATAATAATAATAATAGCTGAACGCTCGCAATAAAGTCAAAGCCACAAATACTTATGCTGTGCCCGTCCTTTCGTATTCTTTTGGTGTTGCTGATTGGACGAAACAAGAAATTCAGGGCATTGACATCCTCACACCAATTATGAGGGGTGGGCGTGGATTGATTAATGTGGAGGCTCTTCATGATTGAATTGTTTTGTGCACTTTTGCACACATTTATCTGATGATCCTCTTGTGAAGCATGTCAAGACTCATGATGAAAACAAGGCATTCCACAGTTTTCTAAAACGAGCCAAGGATGTGGGACATAATCTCGATGTCAGTGTTGATTAGGTTGATGGTTCTGTACTGCTTGACGGTACAGAAATTAATGTGAACAAAGTGAAGTGGCATATCAAATCAGCCCAGACTCAGTTTTTCAAGGAGAGTCTATCTGAACGACCACTGCATCGAGTTTATGTGCAGTGTGTTGAGAAGCTCAGCAACCCTGCAGAGTCCTTCGCCTGGGTGAGGTCGGCTGGCCTTCAAAGTGAAACAGAAGGCTTTCTGTTTGCTGCTCAGGACCGGTCACTTCCCACTCGAAACCGTCAATGTGTGATTTTGCATGAAAATGTAAATATAAAATGTAGATTATGTAATGAATTTAATGAGACTGTCCAACATATTGTCAGTGGATGCCCAGCTTTGTCACAAACACAGTATCTTAAGCGGCATGAAGGAGTGGCTCGATCATTTTATTACCGTCTTCGCCAGGCTTGTGGTTTTGACAAAGAGGTCCACCCATGGTACGACCAAGAATATGTAGAGGGCGTCATGGAAAATGATAAATACTAAATTCTTAGGAATAGGCCCATTTACAGCCTCAGACGTATCCAGGCCAACAAACCTGATCTTGTCCTTTTTGATAAATCCAATGAAAGCATTTATATCATTGAATTTTCTGTCACTTTTGACACTAATGTGATTGACAAGATTCGGGGAAAACATGGCAAATATGCAGACCTCGCTTTCGAAATGTCAGGCTTGCATCCCTAGTACCAAGTTGTCCGACTCCCCATTGTTCTCGGTGCCTTAGGTTTAGTACCTCCCAATCTGTCGACTGACATCGGGAGAGTACCCGGGTTTGCTGCAAGGAATACAGCCCTTCTGACGATCTGGGTAATGCAGAAGGCTCTAGCGTTGGGAAGTCTTCACATTCTCCGAAACGTTCTGGGTGGGTTTGACTAGGCATCGCTTCCTGGGCGAAGTGTAGAGGGGGCAAGGGTAATGAGCTGGTGATGAGCCTAACCAGCTTGACTGTGCCAGGATCACCCAAACCCTCTTTGCTGCATTTTTATTTTAATCTACTACTACTACTACTACTACTACTACTACTACTACTACTACTACTACTACTACTACTACTACTACTACTACCTGGTTGTAGATGGTGTCGACGCTGTCCTGGTTCACGATATAATCAGGGTAGCCGAGCTTGAACGTCGTGGCCTTCACCTTCAAACATATCAATTTATCTCCGGATGTAATGAAGTTGGTTACAGTGCAGTCGGTTATAGTGAAGTTGGTTACAGTGCAGTCAGTTATAGTGAAGTTGGTTATAACAAAGTTGATTATAGTGAAGTCGGATACAGTGAAATATCCCACTGAACTGAAAAAACAAACAAATAAGGTTTTGTCGACATATTGTTTGCTAACACTGACAATAGACCCTCATCTTGACAACTTGCTTACTATACTCTCAGCATAGACCCTCGTCTTGACATCCAGCCTACCTTACTATCAGCACAGGCCCTCGTCTTGACATCCAGGCTACCTTACTATCAGCACAGGCCCTCGTCTTGTCATCCAGCCTACCTTACTCTCAGCATAGACCATCGTCTTGTCATCCAGCCTACCATAATCTCAGCATAGGCCCTCGTCTTGACATCCAGCCTACCATAATCTCAGCATAGACCCTCGTCTTGACATCCAGCCTACCTTACTATCAGCATAGACCCTCGTCTTGTCATCCAGCCTACCTTACTCTAAGCATAGGCCCTCGTCTTGACATCCAGCCTACCTTACTCTCAGCATAGGCCCTCGTCTTGTCATCCAGACTACCTTACTATCAGCATAGGCCCTCGTCTTGACATCCAGACTACCTTACTATCAGCATAGGCCCTCGTCTTGACATCCAGCCTACCTTACTATCAGCATAGGCCCTCGTCTTGTCATCCAGCCTACCTTACTCTCAGCATAGACCATCGTCTTGTCATCCAGCCTACCATAATCTCAGCATAGACCCTCGTCTTTTCATCCAGCCTACCATAATCTCAGCATAGGCCCTCGTCTTGACATCCAGCCTACCATAATCTCAGCATAGGCCCTCGTCTTGACATCCAGCCTACCATAATCTCAGCATAGGCCCTCGTCTTGACATCCAGCCTACCATAATCTCAGCATAGGCCCTCGTCTTGTCATCCAGCCTACAATAATCTCAGCATAGGCCCTCGTCTTGACATCCAGCCTACCATAATCTCAGCATAGGACCTCGTCTTGACATCCAGCCTACCATAATCTCAGCATAGGCCCTCGTCTTGACATCCAGCCTACCATAATCTCAGCATAGACCCTCGTCTTGTCATCCAGCCTACCTTACTCTCAGCCTAGGCCCTTGTCTTGACATCCAGCCTACCTTACTATCAGCATAGACCCTCGTCTTGTCATCCAGCCTACCTTACTCTCAGCATAGGCCCTCGTCTTGACATCCAGCCTACCTTACTCTCAGCATAGGCCCTCGTCTTGTCATCCAGCCTACCTTACTCTCAGCATAGACCCTCGTCTTGTCATCCAGCCTACCTTACTATCAGCATAGACCCTCGTCTTGTCATCCAGCCTACCTTACTCTCAGCATAGACCCTCGTCTTGTCATCCAGCCTACCTTACTATCAGCATAGACCCTCGTCTTGTCATCCAGACTACCTTACTATCAGCATAGACCCTCGTCTTGTCATCCAGCCTACCTTACTATCAGCATAGAACCTCGTCTTGTCATCCAGCCTACCTTACTATCAGCATAGGCCCTCGTCTTGACATCCAGCCTACCTTACTCTCAGCATAGATCCTCGTCTTGTCATCCAGCCTACCTTACTATCAGCATAGGCCCTCGTTTTGACATCCAGCCTACCTTACTATCAGCATAGACCCTCGTCTTGTCATCCAGCCTACCTTACTATCAGCATAGACCCTCGTCTTGTCATCCAGCCTACCTTACTATCAGCATAGACCCTCGTCTTGACATCCAGCCTACCTTACTATCAGCATAGACCCTCGTCTTGACATCCAGCCTACATAATCTCAGCATAGACCATCGTCTTGTCATCCAGCCTACCTTACTATCAGCATAGGCCCTCGTCTTGACATCCAGCCTACCATAATCTCAGCTAAGACCCTCGTCTTGTCATCCAGCCTACCTTACACTCAGCATAGGCCCTTGTCTTGACATCCAGCCTACCTTACTATCAGCATAGACCCTCGTCTTGACATCCAGCCTACCTTACTCTCAGCATAGGCCCTTGTCTTGACATCCAGCCTACATTACTATCAGCATAGACCCTCGTCTTGTCATCCAGCCTACCTTACTATCAGCATAGACCCTCGTCTTGACATCCAGCCTACCTTACTATCAGCATAGACCCTCGTCTTGTCATCCAGCCTACCTTACTCTCAGCCTAGGCCCTTGTCTTGACATCCAGCCTACCTTACTATCAGCATAGACCCTCGTCTTGTCGTCCCGCCTACCTTACTATCAGCATAGACCCTCGTCTTGACATCCAGCCTACCTTACTATCAGCATAGGCCCTTGTCTTGACATCCAGCCTACCTTACTATCAGCATAGGCCCTTGTCTTGACATCCAGCCTACCTTACTCTCAGCATAGGCCCTTGTCTTGACATCCAGCCTACCTTACTCTCAGCATAGATCCTCGTCTTGACATCCAGCCTACCTTACTAGCAGCATAGGCCCTTGTCTTGACATCCAGCCTACCTTACTAGCAGCATAGGCCCTTGTCTTGACATCCAGCCTACCTTGCTCTCAGCATAGGCCCTTGTCTCGTCGTCCAGCCAGGGCGTGGTCCGGAGTAGATCCCCCAACGCCTGCTTGGTGGTTGACGTGATGTCAATGACCTGACAGAAACAGCTGATATAATATATACAGGTAAACGACAACGACAACAATAACTACTACTACTACTACTACCGCTACTACTGCCACAACTACAACTTGAACTACAATTACTACTACTACAACCACCACCACCACCACCACCACCACCACCACCACCACCACCACCCCCCCCACAACTACTACTACTATTACTACTACTACTACTACTACTACTACTACTACTACTACTACTACTACCTCCATCACCAGACCCGTGAAGATCCGAGGTAAAATAGGATCAGCATCTGTGCTTGTCGCGCGACTAACGGGGTCAGGCTCGCTGACTATTACTGCTACTACTACTACTACTACTACTACTACTACTACTACTACCACCATTGCTACTACTGAAACAAATACTGCTACAACAACTACTGCCACTACTACCACCACCAGCACCACTTCTACTACTACTACTACTACTACTACTACTACTACTACTACTACTACTATTACAACTACTAGGGGCGGTCGGGTAGCCTAGTGGTTAAAGCGTTCGCTCGTCACGCCGAAGACCCGGGTTCGATTCCCGACATGGGTACAATGTGTGAAGCCCATTTCTGGTGTCCCCCGCCGTGATATTGCTGGAATATTGCTAAAAGCGGCGTAAAACCATACTCACTCACTATTACAACTACTACAATAATAGAAGCGTCAAGTACATGACAGCAACCTTTGCTTTGTTCTGGTCTGCGAAGTGGTCCGCCACAAAGAGAGCCGCCATGGCGTCTGGGAGTCTCCCGTTGCTGTAGTAGAAGCAGTACCTCCACTTGCCCTGAAACTCCCTGTAGCCGGTGATGTCGACGTACACCTCTCTGTTGGCGTGGACGTACTCCGTGGACAGGTCCTGCACGTATATCTCCATCACACGCCACATCAGGTAGTTGTGCAGTGTTCTGAAACAGGTGCCAGTTAAGTGTTGAAGGCAATGAGTGAGTGAGTGAGTATGGTTTTACGCCGCTTTTAGCAATATTCCAGCAATATCACGGCTGGGCTTCACACATTGTACCCATGTCGGGAATCGAACCCGGGTCTTCAGCGTGACGAAAGAACGTTTTAACCACGAGGTTACCTGACCGCCCCTGATAGCAATGAGGAAGAGAATTTATGGATGTCAACTTCTTCATTATGAGGAACACAAGATTACTCCTCAGGTGAAGGAGTAAGTATATACTCCGAAACGTTGTGTTCCTCATTATAATGAAGCCGACATCCATAAATTCTCTCCCTTCTGTGAATCACTTCTTAATGCCTTTCACAGATTTGACAGCAATAGTCATAAATAGTCCACCTATATCGCGCCGCCTGTAATTAATCGAGTTTGGACTACAGAAACCAGTGGCTGATAGTATGAGCAGCTTCCGAAACCATCTGGTTACGATGAAACCAAGTCACCGAGTCTCGCCACCCGACCCAACGTAGTGGCGGATTATCTCAACACTCAGTGAATACCCTGCTCCCATGGTGCGTTTGTGTTTCCCAGCGGTCAGAGCGTGAACCAGTCACATCTTACGCCCGGATGTGTACCTCCGTGATACAGCTGGAATATTTCTCAGTAAAGTACAGATTCTCGTACTTTTTGGGGTTGAGTCCCATCCAGGTGTCTCATTAGGTGTACGAAAATCTATACTTTACTGAAAAAGTGTTATCCCAAATTTAACATTTGATGCATTTGACCGCTTTCTAAATGCCATTATGTGTTCATTATTCACTCACTGTTATGTTAGAAGCACACTAACGTAAGGTTCTAACTGTGGTGAGTTAGTTGTCTTGGAATCCCCAAGCTGTCTATTGCAAGAGTGAGAGTGAGTGAGTTGGGTTTAACGCCGCATTTAACAGTATTACAGTTATATCATGGCGTGTCAGCATAATGTGGGAGGAAAGCCCGAAGTAATGCAGGTCTCAGACATTTACCACTTCGGTGAGACCCATGAGCACTCTGACAAACCCATGCTGACAAACCTAGATACATAATCGGGGCGAACCGGGATTCGAGGGGACGCAACTCTGCCCCCCACCACTTCGCGATGTAAGACTCGTTTTATCACATTATAGATCTTGATTATCGATCAGATCGTCTTAATACGAAAGGTGGAATCTGACTGGTCCATAGGAAAGGTTTAGAAGGGTTATAACTCGGAATAACCACTGGTGGCGCTACGATCAAGCCCAGCTTAGTTCGGCAAGGGTGGAAACTCGACTTTTAAGTCAGTTAACTCCCTTGCCTCGGGAAGATGCAGTATGATCTCCTACACCACGGTTAAAGAAAGCCGCCAACAAGACAAGCGTATTTGTACAACGGCCTAACCTCGCTCTATCAGCCGCACTGATGTTGTTGATGACGTCAGCGATGTGTGTGAGATAGTTGAAATTGTACACAGCAACTTCGGTACTGCCGCTCACCCCGGCATCATTGAAGAGATACGTCATCTGTTGTTTCCAGTCAATCTGTAACAATAAACAACTCCTGAAACATTTTGTCGAATTGTTGTGGTGTATATAAGGGCGCACCTGGTAATTAATAATTCATGTGCACTTGACAAGCCAAACAGACCCTATTATCTCTCGCCCTCCTTCCCCAATCTCACACAGACACACAGAGACAGACAGACACACAGAGACACACAGATACACAGACACAGACAGACAGACACACAGAGACACACAGACAGACACACAGAGACACACAGACAGACACAGACACAGACAGACACAGACAGACACATAAACACATAACACACACACACACACACACACACACACACACACACACACACACACACACACACACACACACCGCCAGATCCCGCTGCATGTAGTTCGTGTAACGTGGGAAGCGGTTTTGATTACCTGTTTTTGAAGGATTAACAAAAAATAAGTATACGTTATTTGATTTAAAGAAAAATCTCACAGAAAAAATTCAAGGTTATGACTGCAACCAGGTTTGCTACGTGATAGTCACGTGGTGGAATGTAGTTCCAATATGGCTTCTTCCCAATGGTGGTCGGACTTGGGGATTGAGACGAGCCGAGAGGGATGATAACTTACCACATTCCTTGTCCTGGTAGTGAGATCGTCTAACGAGATCTTGTTGGTGTCAGTGTAGGGGTTCGATGTCCACTGAGTCCCTGACGCGATCTGCAAACGACGTGAAACAACGGAAACTCATTTCGTTCATGTCATAGGCCATAAAAAGTGATGTTTTTTGGGTTTAACTTCGCATTCAGCAATATTCCAGCTATATTATGGTGGCCTAAAAATAATCGAGTGATTGATATTGTGAACAACGATCAACGTTTAGGGAAGCCTGACCTACCGAGCCAATAAGTCGCTTCTTAAGACCAACATGGATTGCTTGGGATCAGTTCTAACCCGGAGATCCCACTGTGTGCTTAACGTACAAAGGTGACGTTAGTATACAACTATACAGGTGAACATCTGGCAGCTCTAAATCGCGTAACGAAGCAGAACAAAGCAATAATGATGCAATCTTATATAACTGTCTGATTGACATGTATGTGACACTAGCCTCCTAATTTCAATATTTATCTGTGGAAAGTATTCTGAATCTTGCAAGCTTGCGAATTTCTTCTTTCAAACCAGGACCTGTCATCCCTGCTGTAGTTATGTTAGATTCTTTACCCACCCTTGCAATGTGTGTCTCCACGCTGAAGGCGTCCGTGATAAATTGTTGCACCCTCTCCTGTTGTGTCTGAGCAGACAGTGTTATGTTGGAGTCCCTGATTATCAAGCTGGCCACACGGCGCATGAACGTCTTGTAATCGTTCTGAATCTGAAGGACGGGGTGTAGAATTAAAGGATGCCCAGCTGTATATCAATCTCTGCTTTGAGGAGAAAGTGGTTTCCTGTACATAGTTTGTTTTCTGCTTAACTGACAGAATAACACTAAAACAACCATGGTAACACTAAAACAACCACAGTAACACTAAAACAATAATAGTAACACTAAGACAATCACAGTTACACTAAAACAACCCACCACAGAAACACTAAAATATCCGTAGTAACGCTTACACAATCACTGTGACACTAAAACAACAACAGTTACACAAAGACAACCAGCGTAACACAACAAAGACAGCAGGATTGTTTGTTGGTTGTTTAGTGCTGCAGTAAACAATATTCAAGTAGTACCACGGCGGCATTAAAAGGAAATCCACTGAGGGCTAGACGAATCAATGACGTTACTGGTTACTGGTACCTATAACTCTGGATCCATACGGGTGACATCAACAACAACAACAACAACAACAACAACAATACCTTCACGGCACTGGGGTCGGTGTAGTAATACCACCTCATATACCTCCCGGTCCCAGCAGGGTATATCTGAAAAGGTCAAGACAGTGAAGGACAAGGTCAAGACTATGAAGGACAAGGTCAAGGCTGTGAAGGACAAGGTCAGCGTTTTGAAGGACAAGGTCAACGCTATGAAGGACAAGGTCAAGGATATGAAGAATATGGTCAAGAGACAATTTCATTTCTATGAAGAGTTTGGTCAAGGCTATTAAGGACACGGTCAGCGCTGTGAAGGACGATATTGGCTTCGTCAAGTTATGTTATTGTTTCAGAATAATGACAATGGCGTAAGTGACAACATGAATTAGAAGCAAATATCGGTAGAACCTTGGCACTTCTCTTGCATAGTAGTTTAATATAATCTAGTTCTTGAATATAGCTATTACTGCAACTAATAACAACATTAACGTTGTCTTTAATGTCAGCAAAATGAAGAAAACAGTTATGTTAAAGATAAATATATACTGATGGCCATGGCACTATCGTCTACGCTTGTGCCACATATAGATATTCGCTTTTAGATTTACAAAGTGTAAGATTTATTTAACACACACCTGATACGTGATAATGATCCATGCTTGTCGATATATTTATGCACATTGACATATAAGCAGATCACTCCATCACTATCGCATATGTTGTTCATTATTCGTACCTCAATCGATCTTTTTTTAGGTTCATTCCAATCTTGCCCCACCCTCGGAGCCCACAGCGCGTCCACCCAGAAGTCAGACTGGACTTTTTTCAGAATCCCGTTCAGGTTCCACGTCGATGCCTCCCACGTGCCGAGGACGTACCATCCCCCCAGAGGCTTCAAGATCTGCTCTAGGAACGGCGTCCCCTTCAACTGCTCGAGCGTGAAGTCATCCATGCACGACTGGAACAGATGCTTTAACTTCCGCTCCGACGCCCACTCAGTGTTCCGCTTCGCTGGAGCTTCCAGAAGTGTCCTGAGTTTCTGTTGGTTCTTGTAGAATAAATCCCGTAGAGGACTGTGGTCTTTGTTAACTGCGTCTAAGGGGCGTTTAAGGCGGTAGTTACCACACGCATACTCATAAAAGTTGTCACAGGGGTTGACACTGAAGTTCATGTTGTCGAGGGTGTAGCTGGTAGCATCCAGACACGCTTTAGTGAAACATGTGTTGTCAAACTGGCGTCCTCTCTGTGCTTCCACCCGAGCGGCCACCTCGTCAGATTTAGTGACAGCGAACATAATGACAAACACAACACACAACAATACGATGCCAACTACAACAGCAACCAACACCAGCTCCCGCAAGCCCAGGGCGAACCGTCTCATGACCTGCGTGATGATAGAGGCATCGTTGTACTCCTTGAAGTTGTCCTCGATCTTGCCAACATCTGCCATTAGGGCGGCTCCTGTGTTAAAACTCAGACAAATGACAGGAGGATACCAAACAGGTGCTCGCTGGTGTGCAGGAACACGTCTTCTCAACAAGTGTCGGTGTTCACTCGTCCACAGGGTGTTATAAGGCCTCGTTCCAGGCGAACGTTATCACGTGACCTTAAAATCGTGATTTAACGGGGAGTATGTAACGACATGAGGCGCATAACTTTCATGAACTGAGGAGAACTTGATACATCTTTGTCTGGCGCTCCGACAATACAACTCCTAGAACTGCTGTCATGTAAATGATGTTATAGCAATTGTGAGAGAGATCGTACACAGATACCACAGGCGACCTCTCCTTGTTACCAGGATGTGGGCACCAGAGATGCGTGGCAGATGGATTACAGATTAACGATACATATCACAACTCAAATAATATACCTCAACTAACACAACTCAACTAACATACCTCAACTAACACAACTCAACTAACATACCTCAACTAACACAACTCAACTAACATACCTCAACTAACACAACTCAACTAACATATCTCAACTAACACAACTCAACTAACATACCTCAACTAACACAACTCAACTAACATACCTCAACTAACACAACTCAACTAACATACCTCAACTAACACGAGTCAACTAACATACCTCAACTAACACAACTCAACAAACATACCTCAACTAACACAACTCAACTAACATACCTGAACTAACACAACTCAAATAACATACCTCAACTAAAACAACTGAGATAAAGCAAGGTTGTACCGTTAACCGATGACTGACAAATTATAATTCAGTATGGTATGGTTCGGTGTGAACGTCACAATCGGAAAGGTGCGTCGAGAAAGCCACGTGAGCGAAGCGTTATCACGCCGAAGAAATATCTTGTCCGTTATTCAAAATGCCTTATTTTGAAATACAGTAAACTACGGTTATAACGAACTCAAAGGGACCACTAATTTTAGTTCGTTATAACCGTTGTTCGTTATAAGCATACATACAGCATTTTTACAGCAAATGACTGAGACAAAAAAAAACAGTTCGTTATATCATTCAGTTCGTAATAAGCGTGTTCGTAATAAACGTAGTTTACGGTAAGCAGATTATGAAGTAAACTGAGGGACAAAAGAAAGTACAACGGGTCTGTTTTCAAAAAAAAATATAACGGGTCTACATTTTATGTAATTGAATATTGAATTTTTTTAAACTCTTGTTAATTTGATTGTTCTATTTAACCATAACTCATTTCTGAAATTTTTTAAAAAGTGATCTGATATTTTAATAATTTTTAAAACTTTTAAATCAAGTTATATTTTAAAATGTCAAACCATGCCTAAGTATTATACGAGTGCTGACTAAGTGCCTTTACAATTCATTTTTGTGATATAATATCGCAATCTTCAGACATTTTCAATTAAAACTCAAACATATGATAAAATCAAGTGATGGGTATTGTTTCTTTCGCCCCTCAAATTAAATCCGTTATCTGAAATGTATGTGTGATGGTTTTTGAATACACCAAGCAGACAGACTGCAGGAGACGTTACATTACCGAGGCATCAGTTTCTTTTCTCCTAAGTTTATTGATGATGGATGATTATCCGACAACACAAACAACACAGATAACACAGATACTATATATACTGAACAACAAAAGTTCCTGTGACATTAAATAAGATTTAATGCAAAGTTATTTTTTTTACAAAATCTGAAACAATTTCGGTTTGCAACAGATAAATGACTCCCGTAAGTGTTCAAATGGTGTAATTTGCCATACTAACTTCAGAAAATGCGTGATTTCCTAAAAAACCACGAACATGCCAAAATGTCAATTTACAAATCAATAGCGAGTGTGTCCACCTCTGGTTGCGATGCAAGCAACACATCTTCGTCTCATGGAATGGACCAGGCGTCGCACAAAGTCCTGTGGGATACCTGTCCCTGGAAGTTCGAAGTTCCTGGAGTGTTGTGGAACACGTGGTTGACGTCGAAGGCACAGATCCATCTCATCCCACACGTGCTCAATTGGTGAGAGATCAGGGGAGCGAGCCGGCCAGGGGATGACATTCACGTTGTTTGGTGAAAAGAATCCTGAACAAGTCGAGCAATATGAGGCCGGGCGTTGTCATGTTGAAAGGTAATGCCGATGATTTATGATATCCGTTTGTGTGTTGCAGTGCTCAGGTTGTTCCTGTTATTTGTCTTACCTGTTATTATGTCACCTGTTATTTCTGTTACCTGTATCTATGTTACCTGTTATTTCTATTATCTGCTTGGTTCTGTTACCTGAATGTCTGGAGCACCTGTTGTTGTTCAAAGAGATGTCAATGACTTTCCCCTACAAGTCCTATGTGTCTTCTGAACTGGGAAACGACCTTGGGATTGAATGTCATGAGATGACCCTCGAGAGTTTATGTCGCGAGATGAGGTTTGGATTGAATGTCACAAGACTACACTAAAAGTGAATATGAAGAATGTTAAAGTAGAATTATTTATGCCAATGAATGTTCATTTGAATATGTTTGCATGTAACACACTTTGACTTGATGTTACCATCTGGCAAGTTTCCTTCATCATGACGTGATGCCATTGTTGTTCCCATACTAAAACAAGGACGGGATCATACAGGTCCTTTACATTATAGACCCATTTCATTGACTAGCAGCATTTTTCAAAAATTAGGGAATGCATGGTCAATAATAGATTGACATCGACCTTAGAATCCAGTAATTTACTAACAATTATTCAAAGGGGTTTTCGTAAAAATTTAGTTCGATTGGTGTCATTGGTGTTACAACATGTAGTGTCTTATCTTTCTCGATCTAGAAGCACGGTATTTAAAACGATTTACATGATTTTGGATTGCGAGGCCGTTTGCCTCATTTTATATCCATCATTTTAACAGACAGTGAGTGAGTGAGTCAAGTTTAAGGCCGCTAACAGTATCCCAGTTATATCGCGGCGTGTCAGCTTAATGTGGGAGGAAAGCTCGAAGTGATGCAGGTCTCAGACGTTTACCTGGTCGGTGAAACCCACGAGCACGGGTATGGTGCTGTCAAACCTAGAAAAATAAACCGGGCGAACTGGGATTTCGAACCCACAATCATAACAATCATAGGTTTCTGGCGTGGCCAAGGGACGCAACACAGCGAATCGCGGCGCCTTAGACGACTGGGCCACCCGTGCCCCCTTTAACAGACAGACAACTCCGCGTGGGTACTACCCTTTCTGATCATTATAATCACGAACGCGGTGTCCCACAAAGCAGTATTTTGTATGTCTTGTCTTAGTATTAAAATTAACAGTTTGTCAAAAGTTTTAACCGATTCAGTAGATGGATCACTTTTTGTGGATGAATTTTATATACACTCTTCAAAAATGAGAAACGCAATACGGATATTTTTGTTCATAAAAGCAAAATTAGCGGACCAAGAGTTGCAAAATGAAGAGGTTGAATGTGTCACATGTCCTGCTTGACTGCGTTGATTTTTCCATCACAAAGGTTAAATATTTCAAAGTTTCATCAATAAAGGATCTTTTTAAGGCTCTCATTTAATTCTTGGATTTTGTAAAGAAATTGAATTAATTGATAAATTTCAATGTAGAATTGTATATATTTTAAATTTATAAATTGGTAGTATATGATTATGCACTGGTAAATACTACGACAATCTGTACCGCCACAGATTTAAAGTTCTAACTGACAATTATCCCCACACATATGCACTTACCACCCCAAAACTGGATGCAACTGGTCATAGATGGATGGTGGCTTATGTTATCAGCATTGCATACCATCCAGGAAAGACAAATATGGATACCGATGCGTTGCCAAAGTTGTCAAGGTCGATGGAGGAAGATGATAAGCTAGAATCCCAGAATAGAATCTGTACAATCTACAGAGAGTATTTGTGGAATGATGAACACTCAGCCATGTGTAGAGTCCCTGAGCTTATCAGCCAGTGCTGTTGACGATACACCAGTTAATAGTACAAGTTTAGTACAAGTGACAAGCCGTGATCCAGCATTGAGACAGTTCTGTCAAACCAAGATGGAAGTACTTTTTAACTTTGCAGAACGAAGAGCCTTTATGAAGATATCTGATCACCTTTGGTTAAACGATGGTGTTCATTACAGGCGTTGTGAAAGAAATGGTGAGGCTTATGACCAATTCATACTTCCACCTGACTACCGGGAGAAAGCCCTAGGACAATTACATGACCATATGGCCTAGATCGGTTTAATTCAGGGTCATTTCTACTGATTTTGAAGAGATACAGCAGAGTGGATACAACGTTGCCCCAGATGTCTCAGGAGAAAGACTCCAACAAACAATAGAGCTCCACTCGTCAGTGTGTAGAATACATATCCCATGGAGCTGATATGTTTGGATTATTTTAGTCTTGAGATAGCAAAAGGTACTATTTCAGCATATATTGGTTATCACCGACCATTTTACCAAGTTTGCCCAAGCTATCCCAACAAAGAATGTGACGGCATAAACCACTGCTGATGTTCTCTGTTACCACTTCATTTTACACTATGGTATTCTGGAGAGGATACATAGTGATCAAGGGGCTACCTTTCAAACTAAGGTCATCAGTGAGCTGTCCTAGATAACCAACATGGATAAATCTCAGACAAGATCATGTCTCTCTATCGGGAATGGTGTTAGCGAGAGGTTTAACAGTACTTTGTTGAGAATGTTGGGCAAAGGTGATCAATCCAAGACGGCTGACTGGAAATCCTATGTATTTGCTCTTGTACATGCTTATAACTGCACAAGGCATGATTCACCACATGTTTTGTTATTTGGACACTATCCAAGACTTCCTGTTGATCTTTCAGTTGGGTTGGATCGTGATGGGGAACCATCTACGTCAGGCACATGATCCAGCAACTTCCGCAGCAAAGCATGCTCAAGCCCGTCATGACCAGAAACTGTGTGATGAAAAGTCTAGAACTGCTGTGATCAAAGTTGATGATCAACTATCGTTGAAACTACTAGCATTTGAGGGTAAACACAAGATTTCAGACAGGTATACATTACGTGGTTCTTGAACAGCAAAATGCTGGTATTCCAATTTCGGGTTGTTCAAAGG